AGAATGAAAGGATGTGCAGGTGCACGTGGGCAGACTTACCACCAAACCCAGAAACCCAACTACGAAACTCGAAGCAAGAGAGAGATCAGCTTGAACATTGAAGATGAGAAGAGAAAACAGTATTGTATGTATGTGAGTCCATTATTATTTAGCGTACACATTATCACTTCTTCCTCTACCAGTTGCATTTGGGTGTTGAATAGTCCCAAAAATAGACCCTCTCGTCCATCTCAGTGATTTATTTATTTAATTAAATTCCCTCTTGGACTTGTGTGAGTGTGTGTGCTGCTACACAACCCAGTGAATTGCTGGTTCCCATGCATCCATTTCATTTATATTCGCAATATAATGTTCAAAATCATGTGTGCTCCCACCAATTCCAATAATCCCCATTGGGCACGATATTGTTAATTAATAATAGTTTAAATTTCGTAGTCATGAATAGTGGCTAGCCTATGAATTGGGTGAATCTAGGAGTCCATGTTCAACTCTTCATTCCACACGCCTATCCTCTTCATCATTCCCTGGATTTCCTGCTTTCATTTCACTCCATTCATGCCTTTATTTCACCCTCCCTTCTCACAGCTTGCCATTTCAAAAACACCAACACGCACACATGTATATACTTTCAATATGAATATCATTTTGATCATTTAAAAATAAAGAAAGATGTTAATAGTGATTAGTTAGTGTGATTCAAATTGTTTGATTGATATCATCATGGATAATCATAGATTCCAAAGGGTATTTCAATACACATTGTTAAAGAGAAAAATTTAGAGGAGCCAAATAACTAAATTAATTTTGTTTATATCTTCAAATTAATTATCCAGCTGTACAGGTATATTAAAGATAGGAAGTAGTATAAGTTCTCCATCCATTAATATGATCATCTTGTCTCTCACTAGCTATAGATAGCTGTATCCATGCATGCATACGTGCCGCAGTATCCAAAAGCATATGATCTCTGCCGTGACCTTCGAAAAATCTACCGGCAATTAAGTGGTACTGTATATATCTTATATTTTTTGGGAGACAATTTTGTGAATGCTTATATTTTTCTTTAATTTTTAACTTGATACTTATACTTTTTTCTCCTTTAATTAAATTCTGTAACCTTCTCTTGTTGGCTAACGATGCTGACAAAACAAAATTATAAGACTATCAGTACTAATAAAACAAAATTAAATGATTTAATAAAAAAAAGAGAAAATGATGTAAGTAACCAACTAAAAGTTGAGGGGAAATAGCGCACCAAAAAAAAGTTGAGAGAAAATATAGATAGTTGTGAAATGGTTTTCCCTATATTTCTTAAAGAATGAATAATTCAGTTTTGTTAAACGTGTATAGTATTTTTATTAGTATATACAGAAACCGACTGTATAGAATTCCAAAAGCGGCTGCCCCTGATCATGACTAAACTCAAAACTTCTAAAACTCCTCGCCATCCTTGCTTGAACTAAGCTGTCAAATTACGTGCCTAAATTAATGAACACCACGAGAGGAATTATTAAAAAGTATTCTCAACCTACGAGGCAGAGGGTGGCCAACGTTACGTTCTTCGATTTGGATAAACATCGGTGGATGTTAGTAGTAGCACATATCATGAGGATTTACATGTTGGAATGTGGGCAAGATCATATCATATATAGACATTCTCATGAATATTTCTGGGGACCTGAGACCGAACTTCATCATCAAATGTGTTGTACAGCTACACACCTTTCGGTTTTCTGCAACTCCAATAAAATTACTATCGTGATGTGTGTGTGTGTGTGTGGAAGGACGTAGTCCAGTAATAATTTTAATTAGTTTGGTCACGAATTTCGTCGTCTTCATTCTATTAGTTCAATAATGGTAATTCGATTCTAGAGCTAGACCAACATACCTTCGCAAATATTGAAAGCTATATTTTATCTCTTCACATTTCAAGTTATACATGCTTACAATAATTCATGGGTTATATGTACTTCACCACCAACTTCCCTCCAATAACCCCTAAAATATGTATCTATCTCAGTTCAAGCCTCATGATATTCGTATACATTAGACACCATATATCAACACACACACACACCACACACACACACACACACACACACCAGCATAAATTATACATGTTCTTTCTAAAATGTAAACGGGATATAGGTACGTAACACACACACACAAAGTTGACCCAGTACACTTTATTATATAATAATTTTTAATTATATGCAAAGTTACCTGATATAATTATTATGAAATGTCTTCTATCTTCTTAATATCTTCCTCGCATGACATTTTTTATTTTTATTTCCTTGAAGTTATCATTTTTTAAACAAATTATTATTTTAATTAATTAACTGGCACATAATTTCACATCTGTAAATGCTATACATTTAAAAACAGGGGCTAATATTATCATCACAGTTTGATCCAATTTTAATTTCGATCCTTATATTAAGGACTTAGTTTAGGAACTAAAATCAAAACTTATTAAAAATATAAGAACCATCCATAAATTAAACTCGTATAAAAAATTATGAGATCAAAACTAATATGAATCAAAAGAAAAACATTTCATTTGGAAATTTAAAAAAAAAGGCAATCATGTTTCATAATTTATAACATGCATGGGGTACTACTATTGGGAAGAAAATGCTGCAAAAGTAGGCTTGAGCTTGACCCATCAATGTCAACTTGAAAACTTGTGAAGATCGATTTTGGCCTCAGGAAGTATAATATCACAATTGACCTAACTCTGCAAAACATCTGGTAGTTTGCTTTAAAGCATGGTACTGTAAGAATCCATATTTAGTAAGAAATTGCGTTTGGATATGTGCATACAAGTTTGGGGATTGCTTGTAACACAAGGTTCATATTTTTTTTTTTGCAGCATTAATAAACTAGTACTCCTCCGATCTTTAATATAAAACACAATTGTTGAATTGGTTTTGGTCCTAAAATATAAGACTAATTTATCATATTTTACTCTAAAATATTCTCTCTCAAATTAATAAAGATGATTATGATATTTTAGGAAAAATATGTCACATTTCTTATAAGTAACTAACTTACCTAACTTTCTTAATCTACTTAAATTAATTAAATGAGTATTATATTAAAGATCGGAGGAGTATATATATTGCACAATGTATGCGTGGCTGAGTGGGATAATTTTTACAGCGTCAAATCGATCATATGATTTTGAAAGCTAGTTCGTCATACTAACTTTTAAGTATATAGGCACTTTTCATGAAAACCAACAAAATTTACCAACCTTTTTGAAATGTGCTGGCGTCATCATGTGCCTAAATTGGCAGCAAAATGATTTTGACAGCTTTAAAATAAAACCTTGGTAAAGGTCGATCTGCTCACATCTAGTCTCTTAAATTATTTTGTAATATATTCAGTATTTTGATATATTTTTTAAAAGTATCTAATGCTTTGAAATATTTTTTTGTCTTGTTGTTAGATGTATGAAAAAATATCTTAGAGTATTAAATACACTTTAAAAAATATTTTAAAGTACTAAATGTATAAAAAATATTTTTAGATGTTAAATGTATTTAAAAATATTTTAAAATGCTGAATATATCACAAAATATTTTAAAGTGCTAAATATGCTATATGCATCTTAATCCAAAAACTTTGATGAATAAAAATAAGTGGATTATTTTAAAAGACGAATGGATTTTTTATTTGAATAATTAGTTAGAATTCAACAATTTTTTAGACGAATCTAATTACTGAGAAAGTTGTTGGATCGATAAGCTAATCACAGAGTGACCCGATTTGAGGCTACGAGACTGAACCATGGCCTTTTTAATTTGACCAGTAATTTGCAGGACTGGGTTAATTATATTTGTTTTTTAATTTCCATTAATATAATAGAGTGTTGGTTAATTTAATTGACTACGCAGAGAGATTTATATGTGAATGTATCAAGCTTAACGAAAATCATAGCTTATGTTGTTTTGTATAATATTCATATCTGCCGCATGCAACCCACAGGATTATCATTTGATTTGGGTAACTAATCCCCTCATATTTAATTATCGTTTTCAAATGTTGTCACATGCTTCCTCTCATATCCCCACTACTTATATACCACTATATTTATTTTTTTTCTATATGTTGCTATTTTTTTCTCTCTCTATATAAACATTATAAACATATTTTAAGAGTTATTAATTACTAGAAATTAAGTAATGAGTTGTTAACGCAGATCACCCGTTAAAAGTCAGTAAAATGTCTCAAAAATACAAAGTAGGGATGCAACATGGAATCATGAATAAACACCTAATGAGTATTTTTTTGGCTAAAGTATACTTCTAGCCTTTTAACTTTACGTAATGTTTTATTTTGGTTTCTTAACTTTAAAAAATAAACTTTTAGTCCTCTAATCCTAAAATTATTAACAAAAAATGATGATATTAAGCTCTTAGCTGATAAAATATTACTAAATGCTAGCATATTAAATTTAATATTCAAAACAACTATAATTATTACAAAAAATCATCATTTAAGACTAAGAATTTTGGGGTTAAAAGACTAAAAGTATAATTTTTAAAATTAAGAGACCAAACTCAAATCTTACTTTAAGATCAAATATATATTTAGCCGTGTTTTTTCCCCCTTACTTAATCTCTAATTTCAAAAAAACTTGCTTCTCATTTGTATATTACATCGACTCAATTTGAATTAATATAGTCCCGTGTTCTCATATGTAAATTCCGGAGATCGAAAGGCCTAATAAAAATATTATACACCATTTTTACTAAAAGAAAAAAGAAAACTATTCTACACCAAACACTGTTTAGAAAATTTATTATTATTAAAAATATAATATAATTCTAATAAAAAGATACGAAATATGAAAGCAACTGTCACAAGGTTGTTTTCTCTCTATATATACCCCTGCCATCCTCACAAGCTCTTCAAATCATTACACTTGACAGCCGATTTCATTTCCATTGCTGCACAACAAAATGCATAACATTTGCCTCAACATGCCTCCGATGGCTGAAAGCTTCGACCCGGAGGTGCTCTTCACGCGCCGCTGCATATGGGTGAACGGAGCCGTCATAGTGGGAGCGGGGCCGTCGGGTCTGGCTGTGGCGTCTGGCCTGAAAGAGCAAGGCATCCCCTTCGTCATCCTGGAAAGAGCTAACTGTATCGCATCGCTATGGCAGAACCGTACCTACGATCGCCTCAAGCTTCACCTTCCCAAACAGTTCTGTCAGCTTCCTAATTTTCCTTTTCCCGATAACTTCCCCGAATACCCTTCCAAATTTCAGTTCATCACGTACCTTGAATCCTACGCTAAGCACTTCGGAATCAATCCCCAGTTCAACGAAACTGTTCAATCCGCTAAGTACGATGATACGTTTGGGTTTTGGAGGGTGAAGACCACTCGAAAGGAGGGCAGCGAGGTGGAATATATTTGCAGGTGGCTTGTGGCTGCTACAGGGGAGAATGCAGAGAAAGTCGTTCCTGAGTTTGAAGGCTTGGATGATTTTGGAGGAAGAGTCATGCATGCTTGTGATTATAAATCTGGAGAAAGTCATACTGGTCAGAATGTTTTGGTTGTTGGGTGTGGAAATTCTGGCATGGAAGTCTCTCTTGATCTCTGCAACCACCATGCCAACCCCTCAATGGTGGTTCGAAGCTCGGTGAGTTCTGAATTTTTCATACATAAATGAACTTTCTCAGACAATACAAACTGGGTTTTTCTAGTGATTTTGCATGAAGCTTGACTTTTGAAGTTGTTTTGATGGATGATCAGGTGCACGTGTTGCCCAGAGAAGTGTTCGGAAAATCGACCTTTGAACTTGCAGTGACGTTGATGAAGAAGCTGCCTCTGTGGATGGTGGACAAGATACTGCTGATTCTGGCTCGCCTGATTCTGGGGAACGTGGAGAAGTATGGACTGAAGAGGCCAGAAATGGGGCCTCTGGAGCTGAAGAACAGTGCGGGGAAGACGCCTGTGTTGGACATCGGAGCACTGAAGAAGATTAGATCTGGGGAGATTAAGGTGGTTCCCGGAATCAGAAGATTCTGGAGAGGCAAAGTCGAACTGGTTGATGGCCAAATTCTCCAGATTGATTCTGTTGTTCTTGCTACTGGCTACCGCAGTAATGTACCCTCCTGGCTAAAGGTGAGAACTTCATCGCTCTTACTCATTGGATTCTTGATGACACATGTAGAACTGGCATTGGCTTTAACTCTGCACCATCTCTTTCAAACTATTCAGGGAAAACTACATCTAAATACCCAGATTTCAAAAGTATTTGGATTGAAAGATCAAATTATTATTATTTAGTTCTGATGTAGTAATTACGTATCGCGTGATGAAAATATACAGGAGAACGAGTTTTTCTCAGAGGACGGGACACCAAGGAATCCATTCCCAAATGGATGGAAAGGGAAGTGCGGATTGTATGCGGTGGGCTTCACAAGAAGAGGGCTGTCGGGCGCATCGTTGGATGCAGTAAGTGTGTCCCACGACATCGCTAAATGCTGGAAAGAGGATTCTAAGCAACGCAAGAAATCAGTGGCTGCTCGTCACAGAAGATGCATCTCCCACTTCTGATATATATGATCACTCTCACTTGCACTTTCGCCTTTGTTATTCCCTCCCAAATGTGAATTAGCAAATAATAATAATACGTAGAGAGCTCTCCCACACATGTTAGCTAATTGTTAGTTAATTTAATTCATTGCCTAGCTCCCACAAAATGAAAGCAGCCCTCTCCTTCATTAAACAACCTCGTAATGATTTGTTTCAAGGAAGATGAGGCTTGTTCATGCATTCCCTTGTTGCTTTTCCCTTTCATTTCTTTCTCCCTCAGTTGTAACCTATACATATATCGTTTGACTCTCTCAAAAGAATGTTGTATCACACTTTATTTTAAAAGCTTTAATAATTAAGTCAGCTCTTTTCCTATCTCTCTCTCTATCTGATTAATGTCTCTGATGCGAAGTATTACTATAATATAATGTAATTAAAATGTATAAAAATATTCATATGAAACTATAAAAAGATAACATTTAAATAAAAAATGTATCAACTCATAAACACAAGGAATATTCACATATAAACCATGCATAATAATAAAACACAAGTACAGGAGACATTCATGCATGAACTATATACATAATTCAATAAAATAGAGTTATTAAAATATAAATTCGACAATTTCTTATCGTAAGAGCTTATTTGACTTTCAATTTGACCCTAAATATAAAACCCTAATCTATTTTTTTTAATATTTATTCATTTTTTTAAAGTAGTTCTCATAGTAGTTGTATATGTTAAACATTTCATCAAATGGTAATTATAGCTAATATACATAATTAGCAAGCGTATTATAGAAAAGACAACACATATTTATAACAAATAACTAATTTAACTAATTTTTTTAATCTTATCAAATTAGTCAATTAGGTTTTATATTAAAAATAGAGGTGGTACTATTTTTTGTTCATCTAATTCAAAGTGATGTTGTTTCAAACTCAAGGGAACAAAGAATTATGAAATTAAACCAAACTCAATCGCAAGTTAACATAATGTCACTCTTATTGGTGAGTTCTTTGTTTTTGAGAGAATGCCTTAATCGCAACAGTGCTTAATTTGCCGATTTAAAAACTAATGCTTCTTTGATTTCTCTTTTCATCGATCCAATACTATTCCTTTTATTTACTAATCAAATGAAAACGGGTGAGAAATAAACAATGGCTATTGTAAGTACGAGAAATGAATTGTGAATCAAACCTAAAGCTCTTTTTTTTTGCCCGGGGGGGGGGATTCTCGGGGGCCAAAAGTCAAACTAAACAAAAGAAGAAGAATTTGAATTAAATAAGATTTGCTGTTTAGTCAACGCTGGGAGAGAATCTCTTCGGTGTGATGCACGTAGCAGTGCTGGAGTCATGGGCTTTTACTGGCGATCAAAGCCCATTTAGCATTGACCAGTCAAATTTACTACTAATTAACTCGGGTTCTTAAAATATACGCGTTAATTAATAATCCCTCCATTCCTTTTTATAAGATACAATTAACTAAATCACATTATTCAAAAAATTGGTTTTGCCAACAATACCCTCATTTATGTGGAAGAGAGATAATGTGTGGGAGAGAAAATGAATGAGAATTAAATACAATTATATGAGTAATATGAGTGATTAAATAGGGGTAAAATAGGAAATCAACACACAAAATTTGAGACAACTTATAAGTGTCTCTTATAATAAGGAACATGATATGCTTTACAATTGTCTCTTATAATAAGGAACAAAGGGAGTAATAAATGACTTTTCATACCAATAAACCGATGATTGAGATGGTAAGTAGTCTTACCCTCATGAAAAAGAGAACACAAATTTAAACTCTAAGAAGCAAGCTTGTTAGGAGGACTTTAACTTTGACGTTTCTGACCCAACAAAGATTAGTTTTAATCTAAAGTAGCTTGAGGATATTTGAGTTATAAAAAAAAAAAAAATTCATACATTGAATGTTAGAGATTTGCGCTATGTGATGCCACACAATGGAATTCAAATTAGCTATTTTTTTCTTAAAGAAAAAAAAGATATTGAATGGTGAAGTTGCAAATTGTGAAACAGGGTGCGCCCATGTTACGTCGCACAGCACATGAATAGATGCCTACAACACAAGCACGAATCTGAGTCTCTTATGCTTTGACGTACAACAATAGAACAACCACAAGTATAATTAGAGAACATGATTTGAATTGAAAGTATAATCCTATCCCCCAGCCATAATAATTTTGGACATATAATATTTTCTTTTCAATAATTATTATAACATCAAGTGGCTCATTATACTATATTGTATTCTTTAAGAGCTGAATCTTAATATCCTCATCATATATAATGGATTCCATTTCATCCAATCATACTCCTAGACAGTATTGAAAGTCCCTTCTTGTTTTTTTATTAGATGCTATGCTCACATATATGCGGTTATTTGCAACATACTAATGACGCTGCCAAAAAGATGCTAATTACACTTGGAGGTTTGTTGACGCACGGTTAATACCATTATTGCTCACTTCGATCAAATTTTGATTTTGATCTCTATAATTTCATAAATATTTAGTCAAAACTAAAGTTAAATTCAGACTAAATTCTTATTAAACTACAATTAAAATTTAATCAAATTGTAAGGACTAATAATGATATTAACTGTGATATATGTATGTATGTATCTAGAATGTCCATGAAAACTCCAACTGGAAGAAGCCTTCACTTTCTGCTTCGTACGATTCATTCATGTCAAGAGAAAACAATTTCTACTAATACAACACACCAAACAAATCCTATATTGACAAAATTTCTATTCGTATGACGAAAAGCACGTGTATGTTGCATGTTCTCTCACAACTGTTGCTGATATTAATGGAATTATCATTATTATTATTTTCAAAACTTTTGATCTTTTGACAAAAATACTCTAAGCTCTTCCCAAAGCAAATACATATACTCTGCATGGTATAAGGAGTATTTCATTTGACTAAATTCAACCTGCAATTTTCAGTGGAACTTGTGCATCATCGGAACCCGGAGCCTAAACTTATCCTCCACTTGCAAAATTTTGGTTCAGTTTTTCACTTTTAAAAGGTTTCTTATTATAGTATTACCTTTGGTCCTAATTATAAGAACTAGTTAACTAATTTGAAGAGATTAAGAAAATAAGTTAAATTAGTTATTTGTAATAAATAAGTGTTATTTTTCCTAAAATATTCTTGTTAATCAAGTTTATTGGCTAGAACTATCATTATTAGAAGAACTATCTTGAGAAAGAATGCATAAATATGAGAGATAAAGTGGATTGTGGTTTTATAATTAAGATCAAAATAAAAGTAAAAAAAGGTTTTATATTAAGTACTAGAGGTAGTAATTCTTTACTATAATATAATTAAATAGAACACACATTTCACCAAAGATATAGACACATAATTTCTTTTGTTTGGGTCGTAGCGAGGGAAAAAGTTGCATGGCCTCATTATTGCACGTTTCAATATGTTTAATTTTTCCCTCCACCAAATACGCTCTTATTTTGGCTTTGATTTGTTAGCTGACCGTTGGAACATAAACCAGGGAATTAAAATCAAGTAAATTCAAAGACTTATTTAAAGTCAAGTATTTCTAATATTTAAATGAATTTTTCCAATTTTTGAAATTAAGCAAAGTCGTGCATGGAATGTGATTCTTCATGTCTAAACCTCATGTTTTTCACTCCAAAAACGTAGATATCAATGTCAGTGCGTGTGTACATATTTTAATTTATAACTTTTGCTCTAATATTGTTTTATGGACGACTTATTTATGAGATATTTTTGTCATGAGTGTCCTATAAATCTAAGCTCTTTACAAGTCCAAAACGACGACTTTATCTATTTTATTGAGATAAAAATAATTTAAATCTACTGAACAATAAAATAATGCAAATTTTTAAATTTTAAAAAAAGAGATCAAATGAACACGGCATTCTATACAGACACACAAAGTTAATCATGCAATTATTTGAAATTCAAAAATAAAAAAAATTCTCTAAAATATTTACACACGGAAGCACAAGAAGAAAGCAGGCCCATATTAAAATATTCTACCGTTTTAAAAAATGTAAGAGGTTAGATTTTGGATTGACCAACTAGATATGCCTACATTAAATAAACCGACATCTTATCAAACCATCCCCAAAGAAATGAATCGCATCTGGGATTCACTGACCTGAATATTCTAACAATGCATTATTAGAAAATCATCAGCAAAATTTGAACCCATTTTTTTTTTATAAAAAAAATCTATGCTTAATGCAATTCAATCTTCATCTTCTGTTTCTTTCTTTCTTTTTTTTGAATAAAGGGCATATGGCGTCGAGCCATATTGAAGCTGAAGGTAACTCTTTAGAGCAACATGCTCATTGTATATAAAGAGTATTGTCTACATCATCTGAAACTCTATATTCGGGTTATCAGTATAGTGAGCTAGCCACTTGACATGAGAATTGGCTTTTCTAAAGATATGGCCAAATAGTGATAATCGTTGTTGCGAATTGACTGAACAATATAATCTGAGACACATAATCGGAGGAAGAAGGAATAAAAGACAACCCATATGAGTCCTCATGCATGCACTCAGAGATGTTAAAATATATATAACATCTATGGCCCATCTGAAACCAAGTCACCACCACCACCACCCAGATTGAGCCTTCTATCTATCCGGGAAGAAATTAAGGGAGAAAACAGTGGTCGATCTGAGCAAATATAAAACAAAAGAGCAAAGACTTATAGTGTTTGAAAATATTGGCAACCTAGATATGGACATTAATGGCAGGCTACAATATGAATTGCACAATTATAGAGTTGTGGATTCACAGAAGAGGCTTCCAAGGTTCTCATAAAATCAGCATGCAGCAGACATCACAGTTATCAAGAGAGCAAAACACATGGGGCAGCCACCTCCCCTTATAAGCCCATTCCTTCTTGTTCTCCCTCATAGTTCATTAACTTCATTTCATCTTCTCCATTTAATTACTACTGTTAAGAGTTACTGTTCTATCCTTTTTAATTCACACAAAAGACAAATGTTAGCAGCAGCACAGAACTTCACTGCATGATTGAGAACTGTAGTTTACATCATCTGTTACGAATCACTCATTTGTGTCTGATCACTGATACGAGTTGTATTCTGAATCTCTGGCATTCTATGTATATTTTATTGTATCACAGGGCTTGCGTCAAATCGTGTCTTTCACTTTGTCTCTTTCATATTTTCAGCTACTTGTGTAATGAGTGGTGTCGAGTAATGTTATTCATATATTTACAGGTTTTGGCGCAGATTTAGCTCTAACGTATATCATCATGAACGTGGTTTTTCCTGCAGCCCATGTTATGCGTGTTATGTCCAAGCAACATGTATCGTGTTTCAGAACAACATATGAATCGGTTGATTTGACGTTTGGTCTAAAAGAAAGCGTCAACAGAATAATAAACTCAACTGCAGTTAAGGATAAAATTGCTGGAGGTTTGAACAAAGTTTGACTTTTCTAATGTACATGGTCCATTCAAGAATATGGTGCAAGTAGTTAACTAGGAGAGAGATTATTAAGCATTCATGACTAGTTTGCCTGTTGAATTGAGAGCTTTTATTTTCACTTAACTATTACATATTTTGAGAATCATCAGCTTGAGTTTGTGTTTGACCATACAAATGTTACTACCTGTTTTTGCACTCCCCGTAAAGATGACGCAGGAAGAGATGCTAGCTCATTTTGTTCACGCAATTGACTTCCAATTTGTGATTACGCGGGAAAACATGAGGGTTTTTCTGAAAAGTATTCAGTTGGATATCTTATGTATGCAAGCCGTAAATTCAACTGTACAGACAGAAATTGTTCGCCTTTAGAAATTTGTGTTTTTGATTAATTGACTAAATATTTTTTTTTAAGTGAATGGATTTGACGGAAATCTCAAGAAGATTCACATTCCAAAAACTTGTTCATGAGGTTAGAGTCTAACGTTGCAATCTCCACACTACCACTGCAGTAAAATTGATCGGGATGTATAGTGAAAGGCAATAATTTCAACTAGAACGGCAGCCAAAAAATTAACCCGTCAGATTAGAAAGGCCAGAGTTTCTATAACGGTATAACCAAATCAGAATCTTGTACATCTGATTTACAACTAAGTCATACTTTTTAGCCCTAACATAATCTCGTTCTATGTTCCATTAAGAGAAGAAAGGCCTTTAACAGAAGAGAAAATCAATTCTCTCATTCTTGACTTTAGACTTCTTACAATCAGGACAACACAACAATGGTTTTCTGCTCGAGCTTTCTAAACCAGTAAAATAATGTTTGTTAAGTATCGCCTATGAGTTCGTAGCTGCTATGTTAGCAGTTATAAGTGGCTCTCGCGTCATGCAAACACGTAATGGCCAACCATAATAATCACTTTCTCTTAGGATTTGGAACTATCAGACCTCCAAATAAGGGAACTATCACCCTTTGATAGAGCTTGAAACCTTAAACCGGTTGCAGTATTCAACATATGCACCCTCTAGGACCCTTGCACGTAATGGTTTCTAATCTACAGGGGCAGAAACTAATGAGTTATAATCATGCAACGGGGCTTCAGGACATAGCGGATTTTCATACTTGGAATTCACCTGAGCTGACGCTTGTATGATAATCAACTATAGTCACTTGTTGGAAAGCATCTCATCGATTTGACCATTTTGGTTGTACAGATCCACAAGTTTCTTAGCATATGCAGGCATGTGCCTATCAGCTCTGCAAGCATTAATTTTCAATCACCATGAGCAGTATATAAATACAGTTTATCCTTGTAGGTCGGTACATTATCTTATTATACCTTTCTTTTCCCCAAGCACGATTTATGTGCAAATAGTTGCGGATGGTGTGATAATCAAGTGAATAACGTCCAAATTCAAGACCTTTTGGACCAATCTGAAATGAAAGCGAGGGTCAAAATATTATTATGTTCTTTATACGTTTCGATGGATAAATCATGGGAAAATATTTTTACCAGGTTTAGTACAAAAGCTATCAAGTTTCCGATAAATTTTGGGGCTGGCTGAGCAGGACCTTTCCCTGGACAAAATAGAAATTTTCAAGCATCATTACTAATAAAAAAGTATCTTTAGGAGCAGAGATATTATCAGAGAACAAAACTGTAATCATCATTTCATGAAAGAACAATTTAAAAAAAAAAAAATCTAATCTTTAGAGCAGAACAAACAATGTTAAAAGAGCACAAGACTATTCTGCATGAAGCCCACCATACCATGGCCCCAAAAAGAGCCCATACTCTAAGCCCAAAGACTTCATTAAGCTTACCTAACTTGGCATTATCATCAGCCTTAACAGTCTCCATCACAAATGGTCGCCGATCCCCCTGAAGAGAAGGCAAAAAAATAAAACCATTTGATAAAGCAATATTTTAAAAGGTTAAATGGGACAGAGCTGATAATTTACACCACTAGTTGTTGGCTTAATCTCTAAATACTGCTCGACCAGACTCAGCATTTCTCTTCCTCGTTCATTCCTGTCATTTCAAGAGCGGAACAATGGAATCACTTCTTATAAAACGGTGATCCCCTAGTATGTAATTTATTAATATCATAACCAATCATGACAACTATCAACTTGTTTAGACGAGGGTGGATAGGAGAAAGAGGAGGAAATGAAAGAGTTTTAGGTTGCCTTCACGACATAATTTTAGAAAACGGAATGCCCTCCATAGTTCAGTTCCCCAGTATGGGGTTTTCCTCTTAAGTTACCTGCAGACGTTCACTTCTTTACTTTCCCTCTCCCCTTTCCTCTCTTTAAAGTATATAGACTCGAAAAATAGTAGAGAGAGATATATTAACATCTTAACAGATCAATAATACATTGGAACGACCATATATCCAAACACCTTAGCGTCTTATGCGATATTACCTGACAGTAACATACTGAGGATGTTGTGTCATGCTGACTCCAGAATATTTGGGCACACTCATGTATCCAACAACTAAGTCCTGAAAATTATTTATTTATCTTTAATGCCTGAATAGATCAAGTACTAAACACAGGAATTTGAGGCAAACACAATATACAGGGTAGAGTGAAATAATTAAAAACTTTATAATGAAACAATTCGAACAAGGTAGAGTAAAACGAAATTCTTATTAATATTAAAATTTTGACATGCGCAAAAGAACTTACCGCTAAGGCATTTGTATAGTCAAAACAGCTGTAACAAACAAGAAGATGCTGAAAAGTTAGCAGAAAATATAATCTGGGGAGAAAAAAGGAACTACAGTAAAATCTAATCCTAGAATGCTTCTACAGCCTTATGAGACTTGTCAATAATCACCGTGTGACAAACATTTTACCTGTAGCATGAGGGGGCAATAACATCAACCAGCTCATTTGCTGGTAGACAGAAATAAGGAACCTGTTTCAGTTAAAAATTGAAATTGAATGAAGCAGTTTTCTTGTTAAACCCAAGGACATAATGACATTAAGAAGGCCTTCTAACCTCTTCAATATGACCATCCAAGTGCTTCAAGTGAACCTGGTCATAAAATTGTAAATGTCTAGTGACAAAGTAATACTCAAATTGGCAATACATTAGGTCTTGAAGAATAACAAGCTTCAATTTTGTAAAGAGTGAACTACTGAGTGGGCTACAACGCAAACGGACTATCAAATTGGCGTTGCACTATCATATGAGGAACAACAAAGCATGTTCCTCACTTTGAATAGAAATGAGATGTTTGGTATGAGAATTAGGACACGACCTATGCTACATAAACTGAACATTCAGACAAGAAAAATAGCTTCATATTCCATGTAGCAGAATATACAGAGAAGAGTGCCAATTTCCATAGATGTTGACAGTTAAAAATAATAATAACTACTGAACGAGAATTCAATCTATTTGCTAGGCTAACTTCTAATCAAGGTCTATCGAGACTATTTGTCAGGCCAAAAATTAATGTGGCAGTTGCGCTAAAATAGATGATTTATAAGTTTAAAAAAAAAAAAAAAAAACCTTGTAATCTTGCATAAACTCATAATGAAGAACTGTTTCCGGAGTATCACTTGCAGCCTTTAGAAACTTATCCAGTCCTTCCCTAGTTCCATTGTCCACTGTGAAGGAAAAAGATAGTATTACGTCAAATTCATCAAGGATTACCAGTGATTCATGCACAAAATGGCATATTAGCAGACCATGTCTAATATAACTATTTATAGCTAAAAATTGCGAGATAAAAAGAGAAAGACTTGGCTGAATACATTATATTTGCTTACCACAATTAGTGCCTAAAACATAGAGCTTCTCCAAATTCAGGTGTTGCTCAACAGATCTTAATGCTGAAATTGAAGAAATTATTCTGCATTACAATAGTACAAAGTCAATGAAGAAAAAGAATGAAATTAAAAATCTACAGAACATTATACAAGTGATACCTTGCACTTGGCAACCTACACCACAAAAAGAAGACGCTTGACACCAGCAGCCTGTCATTATGAAAATTAAGACACGCTAAGAATAACAGCAACTTCAAGATATTAAGGTGATACAAAGAATGATGCAATAGTCAAAATATCAAGACCACTGAAAAGGCCATCTTTTCAATTCTCCCCAGTATGGAGGCCGAAACATGAGATTCCAAATTTGACTTTTACACACAATACTGAAAAATATATTAGAAACAATCCTCAAAGATCTCGTATTGATCAATAAATTTGCACAGCTTCATCACCCAAATTGTAAATTTTTGAAAGATGTAGACAAATGAAGAAGAATACACTTGATTCTAATACTCACCTAACGTTTTTCACATGATATATTATCAAGGCATTTCAAATGCTTAAACATGATTGTCATGAAATAAGTAACCATGATCAATCAAGTCCTTTCTAATATAAGAAACTGACTTCAAACTTTCAATATAAAATTACAAAGTATGAGCAAAATTTTTATTTAAGATTGTGAGAAGGAACTTCTGTCACACAGACAGTAATTTTACACACCTCAACAAGGGCAAGGGTATTTAGGTTAGGAGATAATGTTGGCTTTACGCCTTTAGCTGCTAAAACTTCATCAGGTGTCCTGGAAAATGGAAGCATGACAGTATCGTAGGTGTGAAAAATAGTAAATATTACCAGTAAGATCATCTAGACTATTCTAACGATAAAATAACCAGATCCGAACCTTGCTAACACAGGCCTTGGAGATAATCTGTCTTCAGGATCACTATGATAGTTAATTTTAAATAAGAATTATTAACGGAGTAAATAAATAAAGTTAAATTTAATACTAAATACATTCACAATCGCTCTTCGTTTAAATCTAAAATTCCTTCCCCTACCTCTGAACACAAATCACAGCTTCAACCATGCCTGATTTTAGCATTTCGATAGCTATAGTGGTTACTATCCCAGTCCATTGAGCTCCTATCAACAGAGAAGTGGTTTTGTTAAGTGAAATTCATCATCTCAAGGCGCATTGGCCTTTGCAAATTAATTTTAATGATAACACATAAATTTGAAGCAGAAAGTTGTGACTCTTTTATTCTCATGATGCAGTTTCCTATAACTTAAAAAAATTAAACGTTGTTCCTTGAGGACTTATTGGAATTTATGATAAATTTATAACTAAGGATCAACTTTTGTTTTATTCTTCTTCTTCTTCTTTTTTTTTGGGTATATCTGATAACCGTAACTGGTACTACCAACTAATTCAAATTTGAGCATTGTTGGGCTCAAATAAGAGATAGAACTTTTCCCCATCATATATTACATCCAATGATTAACTTGGTATATTTATTCATTGATATTCGATACTGTTTCAACCCACAGATAATTAAAAATACAAGAAATGTAACGCATTCACAGATCCTCACAGATTGATTCAGAGAAGAACGACAAATGAATACAGCTAAAAAAGAGCAGTAACATATTTGACTTTGCGAACAGGAAAAATTACCTTCCACAGGCTTAAGTTTACGAGCATATAATAGTTCCTCATGTATACCAAAGTAGGTCTCCTCCAATGTATCTGTTTTCCTCCCTCTACCATGAACTACGGGTTCCAATCTCTGAAAGAGGAAACGGTTATTGAACATCAACACAAGAATATTTTGCAGTTATGTTCACTTCAAGTTTTCAAGATTGCAACAGAGCAGAGATAAAATCAAGCATTGTTTAAATTGGAAATGATAATATTTCATGTTCAGTGTCACACCCTAAGATGAAAAAGAAGAAACTGTTGTGCATTAAAGTTTCCCCATATAAGGTCAGTTCATCTGAGCTTACTGAAAATATTTAAATAGCAGCAATCCATCTTCCACATTTTCAAATAGCCCAATTGATTAATTTGGAGAAAAGCTGAAAATATATATCACCAAGCACTTCCTATCATTTGGTTATACCTTCAATGCTCATTTTTCAATTATATTTTCCACCTGAGTATTGAAGGATAAAGGTGGTGGTGCATTTCTTCGGATCAAGCATATCACTAGTAGTATTAAGTTGAAAATATTAGGATTTGAATACCACGAAAGAAAGCAATAGAGGAAACAAACTTACTTCAATTCTTGACATTCCATCTCCCAGGAAAGCACAGGCATCTTTGACATGGGCAATATAATATGTATCACACAACCCGCATCGACTGCTCCAAAATGAAGAACTAATTAGATGAAAAGAATTCAACTTTATAGAGAAAATGCTGACAACTAGAAAGGAACTTTTTTTTTTTCCCAAAGAAAAAAAAGACAGAATGTTGGAAGACGAAACGTGGCAATTTGGACGAGAAATAGATGAAAGATACCTGCAATGGTCTTTGGCAGGGTAAGTGCCTCCGGTGGGATGGGCCTAGACCTCTTTCTCCAGTCCTCTCTCAATTCACAGAATTAGGAGAGCTAGAGTTGGCTTCTGCTAACCAAAAAGATGAGATTGATCAAGTGCAAGAACAAGCAAAGAAGGCAAGATGCAGCGAAAGATGGTACCTTTGGAAGATGAAGAAGAAATGATGGAAGGAGAGTGGGAGAGAAGAGAGTTTGCCAATGAAGGAAGACATGACAACGAACCTGCTTCGACACTAAAACTGCGCGGCTCCCTTGGCACCTATCAGCACGGCCAATAAATATCATTTTGAGGCTGGGATTTCCCGCCCTACGTGGCACAATCTCAGTCGTTTTCTTATCTCCACGTGTACTATTCTTCGATGCCACCTCACCGATTGCTCATCATGGACACGCGTGGCGCACACAATCGGTTTTTTAAATATTAATAATCTTTCTTAAATTTATTCATAATAGGCATTCTTCGTTCTTAATTAAAGTACACACATGCTTCCCTCATGATATTATCATAAAACACTTCTAAGTTCTAACCACATTATTAAAATCTATAAAAGGTTATCATAATTAATTTTATCAAAAATAAAAAATTAATTTTATCTACATTTAAATCTATGCATTCAAAAAGAATAATAATTTTTTAAAAAAAATTTATGTTATATTCTTTCACATTATGATAATATTAAAAATACTTAATTAATATCTCATTTGATGATTTACAGTAAAGATAAATTATTTCTTCTAGGAAATTTATTCAAATAAGAACAGAGGGAGTATTGTTGACGTATTAGAGGTAATATAAAATTATCAAATCAATATTCCTTCGTGAAAAAGCAATATTGACATCAAGCTGAAAATTTAATAACTAGATCATATGCTTAATATAAGATTCAGTTGATTAATTTAAAAAGATTGAGAATAAATTAAATTAGCTATTTTGTGATAAATGTGCTGTTTTTCCTTAAATACCCTTACTAATAATGTGTATTAATTATAACTACCATTTGATGAGACCTTTAACATTAGCAATTACTACAAGAACTACCTTGAAAAAAATAATAATATAAGAGACAAAATGAATTGAAGGTCCATATTTAAAACCAAATTAAATATCAAACTAATTCTTATATTAAAGATAATAGCACCAAAGGAGAACACTTTCTTTCCTAACAGAGAGGTGGAACTTGGAAGCACCTATTTTTCCGAACAAATATTATAAGCAAAAGAATCAACAAAATATAATGAAAAAGAACATTGATACTTGGAAGCCCTCACATTTAATATTACGGCTCATAAGGGAACGGGAATGATCCCACTCATATAAAAGCTTGTTTAAAATCAAGACCGTTTCCTGACCTAACCACATGATGACAAATGCAAGAAAACACGTTTCTATTATATACCTGTCTTACATGTCACTTGAATATTTGACAAATATTCCCATATCTCTGCTTTTCCCCTCTAAGCTTTTGGTTACATAAACATTCTCCCTTCTACATCCCCACAATTTAGACGAACGAAACTTGGAATTCAATCAGAGATCAAACTATAGGACAGATTTTATTGCATATCTTCCCAAAACAAATGCAATTGGATTCACCAATCAATAAGCAGCTCTGAAAGGACATCTTTCTTCAAGAATGCATTGCTCCACTCAAAATATACAAGATCACGGCCTCCGCTGTATTGAGGAGGCGACAATAAACAAAAAGGCATCTTGGTGCAGAGTCTGGATCAACGATTACTGGTTCTGTACGTTGATATCACAATACCAAGGTGTAGAATGAGATGACAAAAGTTGCAACAAATCTATCAATTGAGTTTGCTGGTTCTTCGTTTCGCTGGCCCACCAGGAAACAGCTTCATAATCCATCCTAACACCCTTTCCACCACCTAAGAGGGCAAAGAGAGAAATGTCAATTCCGTTTTGCTTTAATGCATTCTACCTCTTTATTTCTCAGCAGCTAATGAAATTAGAAATAAAAAGCAGCAAAGTTTCAATATACTTCCTTGAGGGTTTACATAACATGATGTTACATAAATGATGTCAGAAAATTTTTAAGTTCACTCAATCAAAGTGAAAGCTGAACATAGATGGTACCTCATCACCCTCATCTGCATATGGGGCATTGTCATACGTAGTGTGAACGTCTGGTTGTTTCGCCGGAGCATGGTCACCAGCCATGCTTTGAGCAGTCAAAAATTCCAATCTTTGCGTCTGGGCCTCAAGTTTTCGGGACAGATCCTTGTTTAGCTCCTTCATTCAGAATAACACAATAGAGACGCTGAGGTTATACGTGAACCAAAACGTTATTGTCACTTTGTCAGGACGTATTCTAAAACTTAATTGCAAAATTTCCGATAGAATGTGTGGCTTTTTTTTGCATGGTTCTGGTTTTTTTTTTTTTAATTGCGCATCTTTTTTTGTCGTTTTATTGGAAAATGACTTGTCCCCCCTTTTTTGTAGTTTTCTCCTTCCCCCATACAATTTAATTCTATATCCTTCCCAAAAAAAATAAAGCATGGGATGGTGCTACCTCTAACTTTAGTACTTTCAAACTAATGCTTTAAAAAGCTTCTGTGTCTCTTCTTTCACCAGCGAAAAACGTTCCACCAAGAAGTCAGAAGTTCAGAACTACTCTCATTCCAAGAAATGAGATTTTTTTTTTGGGTCAATACAAAATCACATATTCCCTTCAGCTCCAAATATAGTCTTAAACACAAGATTTTATCCACTTCGTCTCCCTTATTAATATTTTTTCCCATATTACTCTATCAATTTCACAATTTTAGAAAGTGAGACAATAATGGCAAATAACCAAGTTAACCAATTTTCTAAATCTCAGTGAATCAATTAAGTCATATATTTAAGACAGGAGGGATCATGTAGCCGACCCCACCTAATGGGATAAGGCTTGTTGTTGTTGTATTTAAGACAAGAGGGAGTAGTAGCTAATCTACCTTCATTCTGGAACACTCAGATGATTCAGATGCCAAAGCCTTAAGCAGTTCTTCTTTCTCCAACGCCAACTGCACATAGAAATGTTGGAAGTGACTACAATTTGGGGCTATTCAGTGGCCACTAAAACTATGTATGATCAGACACATGGAAGAAGGAAGGGTGAAAAAGATTAATTCTAAGGAAGGGTTTTTTTGTTTTTTTTTGGGGGGGTGTTGTTTGTTCACGGGATCACATCCTACCTCAGAAATAAGTGCATTAATGTTCTCAATCAGTCTCGTCTGATCTGGTGGAATATTTGCCGGAGAAGCTCCAAAAGTTGAGTGCCCGACCTCAGGAACGAAGGGTAAACCAGAGTAATCCGTAGCTGAGTCATGCGTCTCCTGACTGGAAGAGGTTGCAGCAACAGCCGTGCTTGCTGCATGATACAGAAATAAACATCACCAAAGGTAATAAATAACACCACTAAAGTTCTCAAAGTAAATAGAAATAATATATAAAACATGTAGGCCTTTTAAGAGTTCAATCAGAATCCTACGGTCTAAAAGCCAACAACCAGATTTCCTTGGGATGTCTAGAATTTTCGGTCACCATTTTTCCAAGGGTAAAAGGGAAATATAAAAGAGGACGGTAAGACTAGGGAGAATAAGATATCCTCAAAAACTAGGAAAAAGAATAATAGAGAACTGCAGAGCCTCAAACTTGTAACAAGCTGTCCAATCTCTCTTCATTTCAAAACCAGATACTCTTTGGTTACAATCATAAGCAGAATGTCAAAGAGACGCTGCAGGTGCAACCCTATTCCATAAAATAAGAAGGGGCGAGGAGTTAGCGGCAAAAAAAAAAAAAAGCCCTCTGTGCTGTTGAATTAACTCCTACATTAGGGGTTTCCCTGCTGAACATCGGGAGACAGTCAAACTTTTCCTTTGAGAGGATATCTTTTACCATCTGCTTTTCTTCATTCTTTTTCTTCTCTCAAAATATTTCTTTTATCAAATAGAAATTGAAAAAAATAAATAAATAAAGAAGTGGAAAGTGATTATAGTCTAATGCCTGCAAGATATGCCGTAAAACTGTTAAAGTACAGAATATGCACAATGGGGTTTACCAAAGTCCTAACCTCTTTGTCATTATTTTTCCCATCTAATCATTTCTGGTACTGTCAACACATCATTGCAATTCAATAATTTCTCAGTCTATGATTTTAGATAAACAATTGCAGGGCCCCCAAACTGCACGCCAGCCAGGGTAACATTTCATTGTAATCCACAGGTAGGATCATGAGAGGTGGGAAAATTAGATATAATTACACTCCAAGAAGAAACATTGAACAAAAACAAGAAAAGAATAGCATAAAGCTAAGAAAAGCACAGAAAACCATGTTGTTTTGGCATCTGGAAGTATATCATCTTGCATGTTCCATGCCTTCAGTAAAACGAAACATATCAAATTGATATCTATGGGATCCGGGAAACAGGACTAAGTAAGAAGATGACACAAGAATTGTCCTTTTATTTTCTCATTAGGAAAGCAATCAATGAGGCATATGTACCTATGTCTTCCGTAGATGTAGAAACATCCTTTTTATTAGTTGAATTTTCAATAGAGTTCCCAATTCCAGAGGCCTTCCGTACCTTGGACTGCAACAGCTTTTTTTCTGTATCAATGTAAAGGCAAAGAATGAGCATGGACCCACCGAGTTTGCACATGACTTCAACTAGTTCACATGAACAAGCTAAGCAATAGCCGCCCATACTTTACAAAAGGGGAAATTATCTCAGAGGGAAGATAGAATGTCTACAAATAATGAGGAGGATTTCATAAGCTCCTTCACAAAAAACAGAAATCAAAGACAGCAAAGACAAATAACACTGTCAGGTCTTGATAGTTCATACATCTGTTACAACGAAACCAAAAAGGGACTAACAGTACCAAAGAGAGATTATATGAAAAAATATCTAATAACAGATCCAAAGTCAGTGAAATAAACTTGAAAATGCAACCACTAACCTCCAGTCAGACATAGAGATAGCAAACATTCATTAAAGACTGCTTTAAATATTACCAATATATAAAATTTAAGGAAAAGCAGAGTCAAGGTTCAGAGTTCAGATGATTGTCAATGTGACCAATACAATAAAAAAGCATCATAATTAACTTTATAGTGCATTCGCAAGCTAAAATGCTCCAAATTAGGAACCGGTTAGCAAAGTCAAACTACAGACCAGCAGAATGACTAAAAACAAGCTAGGAACATTTTGTTTTCTTTCAATTCCAACTCAATTTGATGTCCACTTTGATTCCTAGTTTTTTTCTCTACTTTTATATGTATCAAATAAGATACTAGGCTTAGGAGAAGATTAAAATGAAAACTTTAAATATGGTCCACGCTCAAAGAATGTGCATTGAAACTGCCGTAATAAAACACAATTAATGCCTTATTACCCTCTTGAAGAGCATTAATGGTTGAATGCAGATCATGGCGATCTGTCTCCAGGCTGGACATTTTCTTTCTGCAAGAATTATTATGAATTGTCATTTTGATATGCCCTATAAACAATGGAAGGAAAAACCAGGAGATAGAAAATAAAATACCATAGGAAAAGAATGATATATTTTTTTCAAAAAGAATTATCCTTGCACAACCTCACTCATTAGCCCAAGGTAATGGAGAGTATGACTTGTGAACAAATAGGTGAGATAACAAGATTGAAATCAACTCATTTCAAAGCATATAAATTGAAATCAACTCATTTCAAAGCATATACTATTTCCCCCCTCCGGTAGCATTTAGGAAGATATGTGGCAAGGGAACTCAACTTGATCATTATCTATTTGTTCTTTGAACCAACCATACAGCACTTACAGCCATATGTCTAGATTAGATGGAATAAATGCTTCTCAGAATGTCATTTTTCAGTAATCTTCATAATCCAGAAACTTCTAATTTTGTCTTAATTATAATAATTGTTGAAGGCCCAGGTTAAAGGAAAGGAATCATCTCAATAAAGCAAGTCATAAAAATAAATGACACCTGTATATAAATGAACCATGGCTGAACATAATTTTTTATCCATGATCATGAGCGAAAACTGAGGGTTACCTGTAGGAAGTAATTTCAGCTTGTGCATTTTCCAATTGCTTCTCAAGCTTTAGCTCACTTGACCTCAATCTGAGTGCCTACAAAGCTCATTGAACAAATCCACTTTAGAACATGGAATGTAATAAATGCTACTAAACCAACATTCAATAATTTAACTACTGAAGTTTATACTCGTATAATCACACCTGATTTTTCAAAAAAAGCCATAATTACACATTTGCCCCTTGCTAACCTTTGCCTGTATTAGAGTTACAAAATAGTATATACCGAATTAATTTTAAAAATTATGGATGCATAGAATTGTTGATCGGACAATTCAGTGTGGTCGCCCAACTCTAATTTTCAGGAAGGTCCAACATCCAATTCTTTATAACATGAGATTTTATTCATTTTCCCTTGTCTCCATCACCTCCTCTTTGCTTAAATTCCATAAGGGTTAGGATCCTAATAACTTTCTAAGATCATTAATAGAAGCATGTTTTTCAACAGATCAGCAGTATGAAAAGCAAATAAATAAAGGCTCAACATACCAAGAAATTAAGTACCTTATCCTCCAGACCAATCACTTCAGATGCCAATAACTTGGCACGTTCATCAGCAGCATTACACTCAAGTTGTGCATTAGCATATTCATTCCTGACAGACTCAAGTTCAATCTGATGAAAAAAGGGTTGTATAATACAAACTGAGCATAGAGGAAACATTAAGAAGAGTGAAACTCATGGAGGTCAATGTACGTAAATCAGGATATATTTTAATCCCACCAAACTCATCTTCAGTGTATAGATCTAACATTTCCAAGCCTTAGAACTGACAAGCAACTTAAATTTCTTACCCCAGAACATAAAAATAAGACAAACTGAGCAAAACCGCAAATGAACCACACATGATAGTGATAGGTCTTTGAACATGAAAGGTCTTTGAAAATGGACAAGCACTTTTTCTGCAACCTAAAGTAAATCACTCACTGCAAACATTTCTGATGTGAAGATACTCAATCCAATAAGCCATGCATCTATTCTTAACCAGTCTGTTTCAAAGAGACATGTCTATTCAGTGATACATAACATCTTAGCTGCTCCAATATTTTTTGTATACCAATATTGTTATCATTCTTTTTATCAATGTTGAGAAAAAAGCACCAAAGTAGAGGGATCATAAGCCTTATTACCTATCCTATAATCAAAATTCTCAAATAAAATCTAAGACATTTTTTTAGGGCCAAATGAGGGCATACACTTTCGCAATGTCATTTTCTCAAAAAACTAAAACTCTCATGTCAAAATACCTGTACAAATTAAAAGTCAAGAAAAACATGGGGACAAGCAATGTCTATGGATGCATTTGCAGTGCTAATCTTCACATGCTGCTATAGACCATCAATAATGGTAAAGTGGTGTAAAAATGTGCAACGACTTATTAAATCATGCTGGGTTATTGATACAAACCAGATGAAGTTTGATTTCTCCCTGTAACCTCTCCATGTCAGATTTCAATTGGTTGACAATACTTCTCTGTTGAAACACAAACCAAAAAACAATTACAAAAGCAAAGTAGAAGGTGTTTTGAGAAGCTTAAAAAAGGACGATGACAAATAACTGCATTTTCAGTTCAAACTTAAAAGTCAGCATTTTTAAGTAAAGTAACTACCCAGATTAGAAGCAAACAACATAACCTAACAACCAATGGCGCAGAAAGAATTATGTCTGCCTTGCAAGACTTTAGCACAATAAATATAACTTAAAAGTCACAACCAAGAAAATTCTTTAAACCCAAACTCTTCAAAAAAAAAAAAAAACCCGGAGACATTCAAACAAGGCATCTCATACTCAACACAGGTCATTACTACAGAAGGCAGTCAGGTGAAGCCAACCCAAGGTTATTGAAGTAAAGAAAGCCACCACAATCACTGCTCCCCTTATTGGAACTGAAATTCCTCCAAATTAAATATGGAACAGTTTCACATCTGATTATCCTTAGAATCACATAGTTAACATTCGCAATCCAACCTGTTGATTATAGTTATCTGTTAGAGATGAATTTTCAGCAGCTAAAGACTCCGCCAATGATCGTGAAGCCTCAAGAGCCCGTTGTAAAGAAAATTTTTCTTGCGTAAGATCTTCAATATGCTGCAGCATGAATAAAGAGAAAAGCATAAATAAGAGGGGGGAAATCTTTCATTAGTTGCAAATTACAAAGTCTTGTAAAAGCAAAGAAGCTTATAGCAAGATCATGCATTAACTCTCTCAGTGTCCTCTAATGGTATCCTCTACACAACAGAACAAAAATATAAATCAAATACACTGAAAAGTTTAATATTAGTTTATGAATAACACTCTTCAAGGGACCTAGCGGCAAACAATTTAACACTCTCCACCAAAAAAACTCTAAAAACTAAAATGCCAAAAGCCAAAGCCACATGGCAATGAATTAGCTAGTTCTGAACATTTTATTCATTCTTTCCTCATCAACAGTAAAAGAATACGCTGGGCTCCTAGTAAGCTAATACTAAATAATTAAATGATTAAAGTACCCTAAAAATTAGGCATAAAAAACATGTCAACAGGAAACTTAATTTCTAATGCTAAACTATCAAGTGAAGAACAAATTGGCAAAGTAAAGAACAACATCATCCAACAAGTATCAAGCAATCAGAATGTTACTAGCAGCAAGCACCTGTTCCAAAGCAGCAAAGTCTTCATTTTGTGTAGGAGCAAATATATCATGCTTCTTCTCCACGTTGTTCTCCTTCGCACTCCCACTTAGAATGTCTTGACTATTACTATTAAAATTTGAGGAGCTTGTTGAATGATCAAATTGACTTTGCACACTTGGAGTTGTAGAATTTGAAAAAGGCACCATGGTTTTGGTCTCCATGGATAGATTAGGAAAATAGGTGGATCCTGATGTACCAACGATGCCTGGTTCTGGATGATTAGAGGAAGAGGAATCTTTTTCAGCTTGAAGATAAGGAGCCCCTGAAGAAGGTCTAGCAACATTTAGAGAATCAAGAAAGGATGGACGAGACCTCCTAGAACTAGATTCCATATGCACTGAATAGGTTGGGATATGATTGGGTGAATGCCCTGAATTGGAACCTGTAGAATCTAACTTTTCCATCGTTGCACCAAGCAGATCAGGGAAACCACCACCAGAGCTTGTGATGGTCTTTCCCCAACCAGAACCCAACGAATCACCATGGCCTGCAGTGCAACATATAATACACATAAGGTCAGCAGTATAGGTATTGGGCCGTTGGTGGGGTGTATGAATCAACACATGTATATTGAGTTAGGAAAAAAGAATTAATTTGAAAAAATTTCAATATGAACTGTAGATGGACAAAGAGATTAGGATGAAACTGTTACCTCCATAGAGGGCACCATGCATGTAGCCACTATCTACAGTGCTAGAATTAATCGGCTTAATCTGTGGTATTGTATCAGCAGAACTCTGAGGTGAAAATTTTGACGAAAAATAAGACCAGTGATCAGCAACTGTATAATCATTCATTGAACTGCTACTCTTAGTTGATTGGCTTTGATTCATTCCATGAAGAGTAGATAGATTAGAATTACTATCAAACGGCTGAATTTCTTGTGAATTGAGAGTGATATTTTCATGATATGTAGTCCCATATGCTACTCCACCAGTATGAACTGTATATATATCATTCACCTGATTTCCTTCATTTTGACTAAACTCTATAGATCCGGTAAGACCAGAAGCATTATATCTACTAGCTTCATCAATATTTGCATGCGACTCCGTCAGAATAGTAGGAAAAGAATTAAGATCATCCCTTTCGGAACTAGTTATACCAGCTACAGAGTGATTACTACTCTGGGTAAATAAATTCAGGCTTTTGTCATTGCTCGTCACAGCAGCTGATGTGTCATAAACAGTTCCACCAATTCCATCAGATGTGCTAACTCCGTTTAACTCGTTAGCTCGTACATGTTCATTTTCTGAAGGTTGTTTTCCGTTTTGGCCATCAGAATTGCGAGCTTGACTAGTAGATGCAGCCTTCTTAGCTGCTTTCTTTTTACGAAACTCATCTAGCTGCAAGAGAGGAGGGGGAAAAAAGGATTTCAGTTTGCAACTAAAAATTCCACATGCATTTACAGCAAAATATTAGCAGCTAATCCTCATGCATTTGCAAAAACAAAAATGCCAAATAATAAAACAGAAGTTTTGCGCCCATGAAATCCCATTGTCATGCATCTGGATCAACACATTTTTCGGTTCATTTACAACAAAATATTAACTCAAGCAAAAGAGATATGCTTAGATATGATTACTTAATTCGTTGTGATCTCCTATTTCCAGTTCCTATCAGTCCCCCTCCGTTTTCACTGCTGCTTCCTTCCTTCGGTTTTCACTTTTTTAAAAAGCAAGGCCGAGATTTATCTTATAAAATCAGACTGAAACCACACTTCCAAGACTAGGACTAAAAACCAATCGTTCAATAATTTAGAGATTAAAGGTTTATGGGGAGAGCACACACATGGAAGTATATCCCGCCACGTTAGCATCAATACCATCAACTCATTTCCTTTCCATGTTCACGAACAACAGTAGTTGCTCAATTCTCATAAAAATCATCCATATACACCCACTAATAACGAGCTTCCAATCAATAACTTATTTTTCACATATCTAACAAGTTTCTAACAGAAAACATATGGATCTAATCCATACCCGGCGCTTTCCAGCTTCCAAATGCTCTTGTTTCCGTGATGAAGCGGCTGAGTTTTGCAGCACCTGAGCTGATGCCATTAAGACCAAAAATCCCCAAACACAAAATTTTCATAAAAGTAACGCAAAAATTGCGTCCCAACACAATTCGCGCGAAGAAAAGTAACAGGCCGAATCGAGAAATCCCAAATGCAATAAATTTTGTGAGACTTTCAATCGAAACCGAGATCAAGAATTTGCCCCAATGATGGAAAAATCTAATGACCAACGGTCGGAACAGAAATTTTCAAAATTTAAACGTAACATACAAATTAAAGAGACGGAAAATATACGGAATAAAGGAGAGATTCTCAGTTGCCCGTTGTTACAGACAAGAGGCGGCCGATCTGATCGGAGAGGAAGAGAGAGAAGCAGTATGAAAATTTTGTTCTGGCGGATCGCTCCCCTTTTCTCTCTCTCTTCGTTATTTTCCGCTTTCGTATTTTTTTTCTTTACATTTCTCAGGAAAACTGTTCATGACAGATCATGGCCTAAAAACCTAAACTGTTCAGATTAGTGGCCGAAAAATGTAGTAAGGAGAGATTTGACGGCAAAGTTCGTTAAGTAGATTGCTTTAATTTTTTGACCCAAAAAAAAAGATTGCTTTAATCTTATTCTGGCCAAAAAATTTATTATTTTTATCGTATTTATTCCCAAATGCAAAAAGAAAGCTCTAGTTGCATTTATTTATTTATTAGGTCTAATTGGATTTTATGGGAATTTAGTCATTTTCCCATTTGTATGAATAATTTTATTTTATAGCATAAATTGGAAAACAGAAGGAAAATTTAAACATTTAAAAAACCTGCCACAATGCTTATTGCCATCATATGAACTATGAAGTAATTGTGGACCCAAGTGTAAGAAAACGTATGAGCATGACTTCACATGTTTGTATTTTGTGCGTGCGTGTGTGTGTGTGTGTTTTTTATGAAAAATGGGCAATCCCCCCGTACAAGATTGCATATACGGATGTCTATTTATACAGTCATACATATTATCAAAGAAAAATTGTGATTTGACCCCTAAATTTGCAACCTCTTCAACAAATACTTAAAGATGTAATGTAACTATATTTAACTTTAATCTTAATAATATGATTTCGAAAATAAATGGACATGTCCTTTCCTGATTAACGCATAAAATGTAGAAATATTTTCTCTTATGCAATGCATATAAGGAATGGCTTATTAATGAAACATTTGGAGTATTATTCAAAAAATATCTTAGTTTAACAATATCATTATCTTACTTCCGTAGCAACAACGGGTTGCTGCACAGAGACATTGAAGGGACTAAACGTTTTCAAGCACATTGATGAATATTTGTTGCTATCTTCAAAGTATGATTCATAGGCACACAGATGTCAATCCACTGTTCAATGGTTTTATTTTATTTTTTTATTAAACAGTAAAATAAAGTTTACAAACACAACAGCATGTTAAATTTTCTCCAGTATTTTTCATTTCCATACATAAATTTATAATCATCTTAATATATATTGCCTACTTAATCACCATGTTATGGCACATTATTTTTCGTTTTCAATTTTAACATTACATTTTAGTCACCAAATAACGCAATTTCATGATTAAGTGGAAGACAATTGTCATATTTAACTATTAATATCAAGAGTCATATTATAATTTATTATAACAATTATAAATAATTGTTTAAGTAAAATTTTAAAAATCCTAATGGCTAAAAGTATTTATAGTCACGGCATACACATATCAATACAATGCACAAAGAGATGCCCTACCAACAACAAAGAACTCTTTTTTCTGGACAAATTCTAAATTCATCAAATATGAGCTAACCAAGCTCATGCCAGTTTGTTGCCTTGCTTGCCTTAAAAGACCACTTTTTAAACTAGCCATCATGTTTATTAGCAGCACTTCTGTATCAAAGACATCTTATTGTTGCAGAATTTATTTCACCATTACATCCTTCCTTCAAAAGGTAGTAGAAACATTTTGCCATGCTATGACATGCTCTTACTTTCTACATCATGACTTGACTGATCCTGATATGGCTCCTTCCCTGCGCCATTGGAGATGGATCTTAAGCTTCTCATAATTAGGAAGGTTATCTTTTATGACAGGAACTTGCTTGAATCTGTGAAGCCATGCTTGCAAGCGAGGCAATTGTTTGCTTCCATCAGTTTTATTCCACAATTTCCTCCAACCCTTCCAACCAGATTCCAAGAACTCCATATGATATGTCTACTAATCCAATGCTGTTTCCTCCAAAGAAATTCTTGTCCCCTAGACCTTGATCCTCCAATACTTTAAGAGTTTCGAGTGCTTTCTGGATCGTGTTTGCCTTTCCTTGTTCATCTTCGAAAACTTGGAAAAATGGCGCAGTAACTGATTTGACCTGCATAACCAGATTTTGAAAAGAAAAATTAAAGAGGGACTAGGGCCAACATGATATTTATCCCATTGGATAAACCTGTTCATCTAGCAAGATTTTAATTCATTCAACTGTTGAAATATAGTGATTCATCATGTTATTGTTGTTGCAAGCTTTATTTCACAAGGCACATAGGTTACGTTTGGTAGAAAGCATTGAAAATGAGGGATTGGGATTGGGATTATTATTGAAAAAATCTATTAAGAGAGTGTTTAGTAGAAGAGATTGTTTGATATATGGGATTAGTCAAAGCTATGTATATGGGATTAAAGAATACCATGGGGGGAAGTGGTATTCCCCAATCCCACCTTTATGGGCATACCTAATCCCATATAACAAACAATTATTCATACTAATTACTATTTTAATGATTTTTTCAATTGCAATCCCAATCCCAATCCCTCATTTTCAATGCTTCGTACCAAACGGGACAATAGGGTATGTTCAGATAGAGAAGAAGGAGAAGAAAGGAAAACCCCAGTCATCCGTTACTCTCAACCCAAACACTCCCTGAGGAAAAATTTTCAGATTTAAACTAAATTCAAACAAATCCTCTGACCTGCTCCACCCTTGAGTACACCTCAGAATTCATATCTCATGAATTAAAACATCAAAATGTGAATCTCAATATGCACCTAACAATTGAAAGCTTAGTCTGTACGAAGATTAAACTCTCCACGAAATTGCCCAAAACTGAATAACTTTGGAGTATAAAGCTGCCAAAAAAAAAAAAATTAAGGAAATCTACTCCACTTCCAGCCAAGACCAAATTTATCAGACACAGAACATATAGTTGAAGATCGGAGATGGAGACAGAGTTACCACATCATCAGCAAATTTAATCCAAAACCGAGCTACAGCCCTGTCACAGGTATCTTTTGGCAGCAAAGGGATGTCTGGCCAGGTTTCTTCGATGTATTCAAGAATCACAGGGGACTCTGCAATGGCTTTGCCGCCATGGATAAGCACAGGAACTTTCTTGTAAACTGGATTGGACTGCAGAAGCAGGTCACTCTTGTTGAACCTGTCTTGTTCTAAGTACTCGTAGCTGATTCCTTTAAGCTTCAAAGCCCATATCACTCTGTGAACATAAGGGCTAGACCAAAATCCCAGTAGCTTCACGTCTTCCATTGTTGAGACGCAGATGAGAGCCGGCCCAGGGGATCGAGTATTTTAAGGAAGAGAGTGGTTATTTATCAGCGAACAAGGAAATCTGAAGGACGATGGTTTCAAAGTTTCCACTCTCTTGTGGTCAAAAAAAGAAAAAAAAAACAAAAAAAAGCTTCCACTTCCCAATTATCAATAAGAGGACGGCTGTTTTATCCTTTCCAGACCCAGAGGATCCGTGCACTAATTTTTCTCTTCACAGGAAAAAGGTATTATGGAATTATTACTCGATGGAGTACCTTCTCACTCGTGAATCCCTTTTTTTTTTTTTTGTGAAAAAATTTTAGGAAGCGGTTTGGACTCAACCCAATCCAAGGACAGGGAAACTAACCCGTTCCACGGGCCCACGGATCAGGTAGGAGAGTACACATGCCTTCACCTCCCCCTGGCTATAGAGCATTAACCTCATGGAATTAGCCCCAGGAGAACCCCGCTTCACAAGGCTGCGAATATGCCTCCCCAAGCGCCGCGATGGAGGCACAACAAAGTGTCACTCCCAGGAATCGAACCTGTGCCAAAGTGGACAACCAGGCACTAAGTCCAACCCCCTCGCCACTGAACCCATGGACGATGGGTCATTCGTGAATCTCTTTTAGCGTCCCAAAACTTGATGCATAACAACTCATTGATTAAAAATTTAATGCAAATAAACAAATCAACATTGCCGGAGAAATTCATACTTTTGTTGAACCCTTCATCATTTTAAAGGGAAAATCATTGTTGAAGCTGCTCTAGTTTTCTTCAATTTTTAAGTATTTCTTTAATTTTTAATTTGATACTTACAAGTTTTTTTCATATTAAATCATTTAATTCTAGTTTATTAGTATAATTGGCCTTTGTACGTGGTGTAATAATGCTAATAGAGCAAAACCATAAAGATTAATGGTGTTAAAAGAGTAAACTTAAAATATTTAATAAGGAAGGAAAAAAAACATATAGAAACCAAATTAAAAATTAAAAAAACCTGTATGTATCTCAATAATGGTTTTCCCTCATTTTTAATTAAGGAAGCATACTCCTTCTGGATCACAATATAAGTTACTTTAACTAATTTGTTAATATCAAAAAATGGTAATTAGCTCATTAAATTTATTTCGAATTAATTTTATTTTTCAACTTTACCCATATTAAATGAGATTGTAAAGGAAAAAAATCACAAAGAATTATATTTTAGGTATTAATTGCATGAATAAAATTATTATATAAGCATTAATTACTATTCTAATGACTTATATTTTGAACCAACTCAGATTCATGTACTGTATTCTTTTATGATGTCAATCATGATATTACAAAGCTCACGCCAAAATTTTAAAGCTTACAGGCACATCACATTCGAGCCTCTAGGGGGCGTATCGTGGGAAGAAAAGATGCATACCATCCTTAGATGCTGCCACTAAGCCCAACTAAGTGATTGGCAACATATTGAACTACTGTTTAGCAGTAGTATGTTAAAAAAAAAAAAAATTGTCCTCATAAACATGGAAAAAAAGTCCATACTCAGCTCACCCTAGCCCCGGGCCTTTTGCTCTTCTAACGTAACGTAAGCTCCAAGGCTTCACACCAAGTCTTCACTGACATAATATGCATGCTTAAGTAGGGTCAGGCAGAACCGTTGTTGCCTGATGGGAACTCCCCCCATATTGCTATCCCGAATGCTCAACTCATTGGACTCTAAGTTTTTTTTAATTAAATAACAATAAATCCATTTTGCTTTACAGCGAAGCCCTTGTTATCATCTTCCAGGAGGACAAGGTGCATCCCATCCTTGGAAGTTGGGAATAAACCCAACAAACTGGAAGATTCCTTAGAGCTATTGATACAACAGGCATCTAGATTATCCAAATATTGCAGTAACAGCATTTGATTGGAAGGACTACCCAAAATTTTGATTTCCTCCATTAGTCCATGTAACAGAAAGTATATCTCTTTGCACTGGGGGTGAGAGTGATCTTCAGCATTAAAAGCATGCACTTCATTTTTCACTTCTGTCCAACTCCAACCAGGAACCTTTTTCACTCCCCTTTCTCGCATCAGCCTTGTTATACTAGCCTTTTCATCCCACATCTTAAGACGACCATACATGTCAGAAAGTATAACATAAGTACAATGCTCCTCAGGCTCCAATTCTAGCAAAAAACTTGCTATCTGACTAGCTAAATCAATATCCCCAAAAGTTCTACAGGCACCTAACAAAGACTTCCAAACCACTGCATCAGGTTCAAAAGGCATTGTTTCAACCAAAGCTTTAGCCTTCTCTAGACGCCCTGCCCGGCCATAGAGATCGATTGCACAAGCGTAGTGCTCCATTTGTGGCGGAATCCCATAATCAGACTCCATTGACTCTAGAAATTTGCTGCCTTCTTCCACCAGACCATTATGGCTACATGCTGTTAGAACTGCAACAAAGGTTATATGGTCAGGTTTCACCTTTCTGTTTCTCATCAAGTTGAAGAGGTCAAGTGCGATATTTCCTTGCCCGTGCTGCGCATAGCCAAATATGATGGAATTCCAAACAATTGCAGTATCTTTAGAAGTTGCTTCAAAGGATTTCTTAGCATCTTCAATGATCCCACATTTAGAATACATGAAGATCAATGAACTACCAACATATTCATTGGACTCAAACCCTACTTTAAGCGCCAGGATGTGAAACTGCTGGCCCAACTGTAGTGTTGCTAAATCCGAGCATGATCTGATGACAGCCGGAAGCGTATAGTGGTCAAATTCTATATCCAGAGATCGCATCTTTACAAATAACTTCAAGGCATCCTCGCTCAGACCAACTTGGGAGTATCCTGTTAAAACAGAGTTCCAGGTAACACAATCCTTGGAATCCATGGAAATGAAAATTTTTAAAGCATCATCCATGCACCTATTATTCAGTTTCATATACATGGCGATCAAAGCATTAGAAACAGGCACTGAATTTTCAAGTCCCCTTTTTATTACCAAACCATGTAAGCGTTTTCCATGGCTTTTATGCACGTGCAAGGAACAAGCACTAATAATACTAGTGTAAGTATAGATGTCTGGTTTAAAGCCGAGAAATTGCATGTCAATGAAGATTTTGAAAGCAAGATCTTCCCTTTCATGCAATAAGTAAGCAGCAAGCATAGAATTCCATGTGACCAGATCTCGAGATCCAACAGCACAATCAAATACTCTTTCAGCATCTTGTAGAGAACTACATTTAGAATACGCTGTGATAGTGGCATTGCAGACAGTGTTAACCAATTCCAGTCCATGTTTTACAATTTTGCAGTGTAACTGCATTGCCAGCGCATATAATTCAGAATCATCAAGCAATGTTAAAAGTGGTGATATTGTGCCATCATCAAGATTCACACCCTCCTGTTCCATACATTTTAGTAGCCGGAATGCCATACTATGATCACCAGCTTGAGCATAGCAAGCAATGAGTGAATTCCAAGATACATAGTTAGGCTCTGGCATGCGCTGAAATACAGCATAGGCGTCCTCATGTCTCCCACACTTAGCATACATGTCCAAAAGGGCACTACCTGAAAATACGTTCTCTGAAAATCCCGTTTTTAAGATCATTGAATGTATTTGTTGCCCAAGCTCAAACTCTTGGTAACTGGCAATCCCCTTAAGCATACTTCCAAACGTGTGCCCATCAAATTCATATCCACATCTTCTCATGGTTTTGAGCATTGCCCATGCAAGTTCAAGATCACTCAAGCTGATGTAACCAGTAATCATCGTATTCCATGACACAGTGTCTCTGTGGGATGTTTCGTTGAATAGATTCTGGGCCAGACACAATTGTTTACATCTCGTATAACCATTTATAATATTATTAGTCGTATAAACGTCTGCAGTGGTTCCTAACTTGATTGCTTGACAATGGGTTCCAGTAACCTGAAGCAAACTAATAACTGGGCTTCGAATGAGTGCGTGCAACCTATTCATTCATTGGCATTAATGTATAATAATATTATTATTAGATAATTGGATAATTAGATTATTACACTTCTTTCCTTCCAACAGCCTAAAGCCCTGCATTATTTAAACAGAAATAAAACCCCTCTGTAAGGACGGGATTCCCGCTTGGTAAAGGATCCGTTACTGTTTTCTCTTATTAGATGCTCTTTCTGTTGAAGGGTCCTCCCTCCAAATCATTGCACCAAATCATTACTTCAAATATCAAACCAAAAACAAGTCATCCTCAGACAACAGCAAGCCCACTTTAAATTCCAGCAACAAGAAAATACAACAGGATTTTAATCATGAAGCTCCAGCATATAAATTAGCCAGAATAGGAAACTGGTAATCACTTGCAAAGACCAGGTAGAAATATACAATTTTGAAGGTCAATTATCCGAATTTCGAATGGATGAGAGACGACGTAAGGTTTGTCCGGAGCCATGCCTCAATGGAGCATTCAACAAAAACTCCAGAGAAGCCTTTATTAAGTTTCGAACCACTTTTCAGCAGACAAAACCAACATTGCCAAGCAATAAGTGTAGAAGCACGAGAAAGTGAAGGATATTAGATTCGGGAGACTTACTGGATCAAAGCTAATCAAAGCCGGAGAGAACAAACTCAGAGACGACGAGAGCGAAGATGAGAACGAAAAAGACTACGGGAGAGAGGATGGCGACGATCGACTGCGACGCAGGCGGCGGCTGCTGCGGCCACCGCAGGAGGGTAGTGGACCAAGTAGAGGAGACACCGCGAGGAGAAGCGGCCTTTTTTTTTTGGGGGGGGGGGGGGATTCATTTGTCGCGCCCCATTCTTTTCTGCCAATCACTCTTCCTTTCAAGAAAAATCCCAACCGAGCACTGCCTTGAGATTAGAAAACGAACGGTCGTGATTATTTCCTCCATTCAACGGTTGAGATGATTTCTGTGGACGACACCGTTTCATATGGGATGGACTGATGGAGAATGCTTTCTGCTCATTTATATTAAACATTGCCGCATTGAGACTCGGATCTTGTCTTGGACCCGAAATAAATGAATTTTTTTTTTTGTTGCCTCCGAAAAGGGGTGATTATGTAATGCTCACTAAAACTGAATAGTTCTCTGATTAGTTTAGGTATGGTGAGTCAGAAAAAAAGAATTAAAAAAGAAGACACAGAATAGAAAAGGAGGGATATAAAATTCCAAGGGAATGAGAATCTGCAAATGTAAGCTGAACAACGCTTCATTTAATAATAACTGACATCACATGACACAAACTTGTAATCTCCCACACAGCATCTGTAACTACCAGAAACAGGAAAACATAAACCGAAAATAACTGACAATAACTAACATAAAGCAAATGTCTCACATAACACCCACAGCTAATAGTACGCCTATTGATATCTAAGTTCCGAGACAGTATTACTTCAAAACCTCAGACTTCTAAACTGAATCCTCCTCTGAAGAATGGCTGCCCCGCCTTTCGCTAGAGAAGACAAGAAAATCACGTTGTTTCCCATCATTTTCATATAATGAGTCTTCTCTGTGAATAAAGTTTTGCAAACAACACATAGTAGAGAATAAATTATATGAAAGTACTTAAAAGAAAGGTTGAGGCAGCTAGGCTGAGGAATTTGGTGGTTGCGAGATGAGCCTCTGCCTCACGCGCTTCATGTGAAGAAGCAAATCTTGATAAGGTGGCAAATCATGGTTGATCACAGGAATTTGCTTGAAACGTTGAGCCCAGGCGTACAAGCGAGGCAGAGCATTGGGATCGATCACTTTGACTCCCACACTTTCTTCCAAGGCTTCAAACCAGTGAGGAATGCTTCCGTAAATTATGTCCAACATTCCTATGTTGTCTCCTCCAAAAAAATTTTTATCCTTCAGAGCTTGTTCTTCCACAATTTGCAGCACCTGAATCACCTCTCTTCTGCTCTTTTCTCTGTTTTCTTCTTTGGACAAGTAAAATGAGCGGAAAATCATGCCCTGTAACAAGATTAACCGAAGAAATATTCAGACTTGAGAGCCTGAAAATTAAGGCAGTTAAATGGAAAACATTTGAAGTGAGATTTACCACGTCTGATGCAAAATTGATCCAGAAACGAGATAGGGCTCTTTCATAAGCATCTTTGGGAAACAGGGGATTTTGAGGCCAGACTTGTTCAATATATTCAAGGATGACAGAGGACTCGGAGATGGCTTTGTCGCCATGGATAAGCACGGGGACTTTCTCGTGGACTGGATTGGACTTCAAAAGCAGTTCGCTCTTGTTTGTAAGGTCTTCTTCACTGTATTCATATTTCACTCCTTTTAGCTTTAAAGCCCAGATTACCCTGTGAACAAACGGACTTGCCCAAAATCCCAGTAACTTCACTTCATCCATGGCTAATAGAAGAAATTAAGTTGTTACGGAGAAAGGACTTGAGGGGGGGGGGGTTTATCTGTTTATTTATAGTAGTAGACAAAGAATATGTGAAATTGAACATACTGATTGGATAAAATAGCCACCCAAGACTATGAAGTAAGAGTTGGTATGAGTCATCTCTTTGAAGGTTGAATTTTCAAAAACGGGTAAAGGTCTACATCATTGAAAACGATGAGAAAGGGACGAACCAATGAAACTGGCTTGTCATTTCCATGATTGACTTGTTTTCAGATGACAAAGTTTTATTAAAAATAAAGCAGAAAAGCCAAATATGTGGAATTCTCTTTTTGGAAGAAACAACCAAGAAAATGTAGGCACCTTGTGTCTAAAGACAACTTGAAATAAGCGTGGCAAAGCAAAAAAAGTATATTTTCATGCTTCAGTTGTTTAGAGGGGATGACAGTATTAATTCTAGATTATCTCTGCAACTTTTTGTTTTTTTTTTCAAAGCATACTTTTTTGGAATTAGTATTCTTGGAGTTTATTTTCTTTTTCTCGGTGTGATCATAACTTGAATAATCATGATTTCTCACGAAATTCTCAGGGTTATTCTAAGAGAAGAAAATGCAACTCTTATAAAAAATAATAGTTACTGAACTGATGTCTGATTTGATGTATTTGATCATTTAGAATTTAGGAGTAGTAATTAATTGACGAGGTTGATCGTAGAGTATAAAGGAATAAAAAAATTAATGATCATCTGAGATTCTTTTCATACACGTACAGAATTGAAGGTCAACCGATTATTTATCTTCACTACCAGAAGAAAGGGAAGCTATTGCTAAATATGACTGGATTATCATTTCACATGCACATTCAACCTTCTAAGCCAGATTGAATGAATAATCATGTGGAACACATCATATCTCTTGGGAGGATAGTTCACTACAAAGTGTCTTTGAACCTTCTTAACATTCTCTTGCATTCTCAAATACTGTTCATGAGAAATTCCCATCAAGATTTCCTTAAGCCTAGGGATTTCACTCACTGAGATCTGAACAGAGAAGGAATGCCAGTTCAGAACATCACTGAAAGGAAGAACATACTGCTGTGAGATTATGACTGGCACACACTCTGCATAAATAGCCTCAACAATCCTTGGGCTTGCCACTTCAAACCCACTGGGGCAAATGCAGTACTTGCTCTTCTTCATTGCCTCTTCATATGAAAATCCTTCAGGAAGTGTCTCATAAACTAGTACATTTTTGTCTTTCTTATCCTTCCAGTGCTGGAAAAGTGAAGGCCTGATTCTCCCATGCATTTTCCCAGCAAAGAAGGCCAAGATTGTTCTGTTCCATGCAGGATAGCCTCCAAGAAGACCTCCTGTTTCTCCTGTTTTGAGGTTGATTTCTGGAAACGATGCATCTTTCTTGGGGTTGAAATGCTCAGAGATATTTGCATTGCAAAGCACTCTGATTGAGATGAAATAAAGTTCCTTCACATACCATGTTGATCTTGGCCCCTATGCACACAAAAACACAATTTAAACCAAGTCTGAGCTATGGCACTTAAGATTTTAGAGAAAGATTGGATGGAAATCCAAGTGAGAAAGAAATGAAGAAAGAATACCCAGTCATGGCAGGAAAGCATGAAATGGTCAGCTCCATAACTTCTATTCCAATATGGGTATTTATGGGATATAATTTGGACATAATCTCCAATAGTTCTACCCAGAACAGCTTTGTCTCGAATCACTGGATGAAACAGATGCTGAAGGATCATCACAACACTGAAGGGAAGAAAGTAGACGTGTGCTTCATCTGGATTCTGAGTCTGAAACTGCTTATTGATCTCCAAGGAGTTGATGAAAACTCCTTCCATGGAGTATATGTCCTTGCAGGGGCCATAGTGAAATAATGGAGGCTCCCCCTCTTTGTAGACGTAGACTTTGAAGAGCTTCTCCATTAACAGGTAACTCCTACACGGTTTAATTGTCAAAAGGAAATTATGGTGAGCTAAGTAACTTCTTTACCGGGAAACATTACAATTATCGCATTTTTATTAAGAGAATATGATAAGAATGTGCAAGTCTTTTTCTGTCGTTAAATGGTATTAACACCAAGATTTCTGTGTGGTGGTATGAATTATCATATCCTGAAACCAGGACTTTCTGTTCCTCTATTTGCTTTCATTTTCTTGAAAAGCAAGCAAGCTTCTTTTCTTTTCTTTGAAGTTTAGATATATACCTGCGTTTTTCTTTTGAGGATATATTGCGAGATTTTCATCAGACTAGTCAATATATACGGTTCGCCGTACCTGTGAAAAGCAGAGGCTTTTCTGTAAATGTTTCCTTGCGGAACATAATATGAATCTTGAAGCGCTTTAGTGTCGTTAGGCCTAGAATTAATGGCTTCTCTTATCAAAGCTCTAGCTGTGGCAAGCTCACCTTCAAGCCTCTTCAGTTTTCCATCTCCTTCCTCTGTTCTTTTCACCACATATTGATCCTCAGTACTCTCTTTAGGATTCTGCACACACAAACACACACACCCATATTTGATAATAACAGATTTAAGAAAACAAGAAAGAAAGAAAGAAAGAAGAAAAGACTATATAGATATATTTACATACAGTGTGAATGGGAGAAGGCAATGGAGAAAGAGGAGGAGTAAGCCAGGAAAAAGGTGAAGAAGGCGAGAGATGGAAACGAGAGAATGAGCCCTTTGAAGCATCTGAGTAATCAAGAGCAGCGAATGCAACAATGGCGGCCAAGGCAAAGAGAAGAAGAGCAGAGCCCAATTTGTTGAACTTCCACATCCTCGCCAAAGACACAAGAAGAAGAAGAAGTAATGTGGTTGTGACGTACGCCAACTAATTACACTCGGGGTGGCTTCAGTTACGTGTAGTAATTAGATTTCATCAGGGACTGCGCCACCTCGTATCGTGTGACTTTGTCCAAACCTGTCTCTGTCATTGAAAACGAAATCACATATCAGCGTCAACAACCTCTTACACTAAACCAAACACAAACAAATACACATGTTAAGCCCAGACGTTTTCCACTCTACCCTTGAATAATCATGTTTTATCCAGACAGTGAATGAGGAAAAAAGGGTTTTACTTATGTTCTGCTAGGAATCAGAGTGTTAGAATCAGTCACTTTGAGTATATACTTGAAGCCTCATTCTAAGGGCCTGGCTAATTGGCTCCATTTCATAAGAAACGATGTCCTTTTTTGGCTAAGGATGAAGTCGTGAAGAATACGAGGCCAACCAAACTCTTTTATTGAAATAAGAAAAACAGCTATCAACCTCATTTCAACTAGTATTTGTACAGTTTTAAGTTAGTAAATTAATAATTAATGATGATAATTAATTACTCTTTACGCTTTAAGTCTCAAAAGGAAAACCGTTGATCAAATTGAAAAAAACTAATAATTAATGATAATTTATGGAAAACAACGTTAAACGAATTACTAGTATACATTACTACAAAAGAGGGGCATCAAAATTCTAAATTGAAAGAATCAAATACCTTGCAAACGTTGCAAGTGTAAATTCAAGATATGAGTCACTCTTTCAAAATCTTGATCGTTATTCCTGAAGAGAAGTCACGTATTAATCTATAAAAATAGTAGAAAATAGCTGAATATGATAGAAGTAAATCATTTTAAAAAATGTAAAAACAGATAAAGAATAAAATAGAGACAAGACAAACCTATTTTCAGATGCAATCATGTTTATAGTGGAAGAAGAGACCTTTAGAAGAGAAAAGGGGTGGATCACAAACATACCCAGTGGTTGAAAAATAAATCAAGAGAAGATAAAGCTGAAGCAAAAGGAGAATAAGAGATAATGAGAAGAAAAGATAAAAGTTAAGTCTATAAATAGAAATAAACAACTCGAGTGCAGCGGCTTAAAAAATGGCACAATTTTTCCTTCAAAAATCATTAATCGGCATTTGACTAGTGCTCTATCATATTAATGGGAGAGAAAAAAAAGTAGTAATCGTTTGAAAGTTGGATGAGATGTTAAACAGATGAAAATTGAAAAAAAAAAAAAAAAACTTACACACTCATCTCACTTGATTAATTATCGTGTACTAACCAATGAGCAGTTAGTCGAGCTGGTAAGTGGGCTCGCCTCTCATAAAGATAAAAACGCGTTTTCGAATCCCAGGAAGCGTTCTCGTGTTTGGATTAGTCAGTCGCCAATAGACGTTGGTAATACTATTCAATTATTTCCTCAATGAATAATTTATATATGTAAAGTGATAGACTATCTGTATGTGATACATAGAAACACTATCAATATTACATTTTTATAGGACTACCGCAAGGGACCCGTTGTGACGAGGTATAAGAAAATAATTAAGGTTTTAACCCTCTCGAGATGGGCATGGCCATGGACTTGTTCGGCTGGCGGTCGCTATTTTGTTAATTAGGGTACTTTTGTTAATTTAAATGATTGGTTTATTGGTTTCCGTAAAATATTACTTTGATCATTACCCTCATTATTGGTGGAAATTCTCTTTAATACTACTTTCAGTCATTAATATAAGAGCTCGTTTGTCTTTTATTTTATTTTGATCATAAATATAAGACTCAAATCCACTTTGTCTTCTATATTTATTTATTTTTTAAGATAAATTTTATAATAATAGTAGCTCTAACCAATACACTTGATTAGTAAAGATATTTTAAGAAAGACAATACTTATTTATTAAAAATAATTAACGTAACTAGTTTTCTTAATTTACTCAAATTAATTAACTAACTTTTATATTAAAAACTGGAGGTAGTATATGTAATTAATAGAAGGAATTTAATTAGTAAAAAACAGAAATAATTTTAAAAATTATAAATTTAAGAGATAAAATGGATTAATATATTATAATTTGAAATAAATTTATTTTTCCAACTCACGATAGGAGAGGCATATATAAAGTTGAATTTCTTTCAAATACTCTCAATATCATGTCAAAATGGCTCTGTTATTGGCATTCCATTCCATTCTATCTTACATTAAACACTCGAAGGAGCCCTTATTATTTACCTTATTTGCGTTAAACACCATTCGAATCAAATTGAAAATATATTCTGTGAAGAGTAGGAATTCTTCACACGACGTCCGTCATAGCATTCTGAAAACCAAGCAAAAGAATTCCAGATCCATCATTTAACATAGAAATAGGAAAATCACTACCACGCAGAAAACAGAATACAGTAGACCCAAGTGATGGTGATGGTGATGGTGATGGTGAGGAGTCATAGATGCATCAACCAACTTTTCAACCAGATGCACCTTTAATCACTTCTGTCTCGTACTCTATATTTTTAAAAAAACCTGGAGAAAGAAAGCACTCAATTGTTTAATGTCGAGTACAAACAATTTTTTCTCTCTTTATCATAGATGATAGATCATCCTGATGATATGAAGAAATATTTCACATGAATACCTTTTATTCTCTCCAGCTTGAACATCGGGCAGTATGGAACAAGGAACAGCATAATCTTCGTCTTCCAGTGCCCTAGATCAATTCAAGTGTGTAGATAAATCAGTTTGAAGAAGGAACTGAAGATCACCAATGGATTACGCCTGCCCGAAACATGTATATGGACCATTATTTTCATCCCACTTTGGTAGAAGGGGAACTCCGCACTCATGATGCAATATGTAACTAAACAGTTCTCTAATCTCAAAGAACAAAAGAAAAGAGTGTGTACCCACAATGTACAGATCGCAAAACCAATAAGATGTCGGATCGAGAACTGGAAAACAAATGAAAATTTACGATTCACGGGAAGTGCGTCTGAGAGCTGACCTTTGGGTGTTGATGCGCTGGCCCACCCGGTACATTCCACACGAGAAAGCACCAAACGCAGCGAGGTATATGGCCATCGTGCCGAGACCTTTGTTTGAGATTCGGCGAGCGAATCGGACCAGCGCGAATCCTCCGGGGGCAGGACCATCTTGAAGCACAGGCATGTCCTTCATGTGGCCATGCTGAGCTTCTTCCTCATCATCGCCTCCGCCATCTTTGATGCTTCACGATGGTTTCAATGTGATTCTAAGGCTACGGATTCTGAAAACAAGACTGCGGAGATCGCGTATGGCAAATTAGCAAATCGCCCAGAAGCGCGAGAGCACACTCCCGGGAATTTTCTTCTTTTACTTCCCGTTTTTTAAAGAAAAAATTGGAACAGAAATTATTATAAATGAATAAAAAAATAATTGTTAGTATTTTAATCAACCCACATGAGCGGAAGTGGTAATATTTTCACTTGGCACGTGATAAATATTTAATTAAAACAGTGACTAATCACAACCCCCCATGTAACTAATATGCTTTAATCATGTATGCGGGTATATCACTCTGTCCTTATTTATACGTTATTTTTAAGAAAAAAATTTGTTCCCAAATATAAATTATTTGTAAGATAATTAATGAGTTTTTTTTTTAATTTTTACCCATGTTGACTTAATAAATGCAATGTGAGATAAAGTAAATAGATAAGAGAAAATATATAAAAAAATTTAATACAATTTCTTTAATAAGTATAAATGTGGGGGAAAATTACCAATTTAATACTGTCTTAATTTGCGGGTTTAGAGTATAAATGATTTGTAAATAGAAACAGAGTGGTACTACCTTCAATCCTAAATTTTAAGATCTCATTTGTAGGGTATACATAAAATACCAAAGATAATACAGTATAATCCATGAGCCCAGAGTCTCCCGACGGGTTGGATGATTCTCTGAGATAAAAAGATCCGTGGGATTTTGGAACTGATTTATGACTGGCATTTTTCCTGACAAATTGTTACGGGACAAGTTTAAAGTTTAAAAAGGGGATGAAGGTGACCCGAACGAGGGAGGAGAAGGACTTTTCAATTCACTTGAGCGTTTATTTTATTGACATAAAGTTCAGCTCACTTCAAATCCTTGCATGCAGATCTCTGGAGGATTTTGATAATCATGAGGTAAGGCGGGGCGACAACTGAAGACCTACTGTATGTAAGACTACGTCGTCAAATACGCTCGGCAACGATGCTTATCCACCCTTACTTGAATTGAGGGCGAGGGGACAACATAAACACAAATTCAAAGTATTCCTTCTAGAGGGTTCGGATTGTTCACACTTCGCTTAAGGTTCAAATCTTCATGCCCCCATATAGTGAAATAAAAATTTGATGTCATAGCATTCTGAAAGGCGATTACAAGAGTTCCAGATACATTATTGGATTTAGAAACAGGAACACAAGTACCATGTGGATCACAGCATCCGATAGGCCGACTCTGGATGGTGATGCGTTAAAACATTTTCACCATACTTCAGGACGCAGCTCGCCACTTGCTGGCGGCACCCATCTGCCGGAGTTATACACACTCTCACCAACTTTCCAACCAGGCACATCCTTCATTACTTCTGCCTCGTACTCCAGATATTTTTTCCACTCCCTAACAAATCTGGAGAAATAAAGCAGACAAATGTTTAATGCCCAACGCAACAAATGTTTCTTCATCATAGATCATCCTGATACGAAGAAACATATCACCTACCTTTCATCCTCTTCAGCTTGAAGAACAGGCAGTATCGCACAGCGAGCTGCATATTTTTCCTCTTTGATTGCCCTAGAAATTAAAATATTTAGATAGATCAGTTTTTTCACCGGGGAAAAGGGGTTTGAAGTCCAATGCATCCGTAACACACACACATGGACCATTATTTCTGCATGGCCCCTCTCCATCTTTTGTCCTAAAATAACAGAAGAGAAACTCCTGACTCATGAGGCAAGCGGAAAAGGCCATAGTAAAATCACCTAGGAAGTCAAAACGGGAGGCAAATAACAGCTGTCAAGAAATTCACTTAAAATTGCAAACGCATAGTTAGAATAATATCAATGCTGGGCAAGAAACAATCATATTCGAACCCACCACACTGCATTAAAACCCTATATTGCATAACATTTCAGACGCCAATGACTTAGAAGCAGAAAACCAGAAGCTTGAATGTGAGCAAATGCTTGATCTGTTCTTCAGATATTACATATTTTGGACAGTCACAGCAAACTATGTAAGAGCCTAAGGTTGTTCTTTTACAAGCATTAATATAAAGACAGTTTAAACCTTACGAGGACAATGTGTCACACATATCTACAAAGCATTAAAGAGATGCCCAGTAAAGAATATGATTAACGCCACAGCATGCACAGATAAATATCAAGAGAGTTCACAATAACCATCAGAGCCTCGTCCATAACTTACATCAGAATAAATATACCACGGTAGTGCCGTTCTGTCAAAGCTTCGAAGTCTATGAATGAAGATATGATTTTCATTGTTTCCATCTTTTATATTCATATTTATTCATTTCATCCCCGATTCTAAATGGTTTCTCCTCATTTTATCAAAAATCCTATGCATCACTGTTGAGCCAAATCCAACGTCTCTACATCAAAAGCTATTTCGCAGAAAGATGCTACGTCATTTTATGATCATCTTTTGACTTTGTACTGGGTCTATGTTTTGGGCCATTTTGCATTGGATGTTTACTATACGCCAACTCTCTAAGCCTTCAGGAAGCTCACAGGTATTTTTATTTTTCACACTGTTAAAATTGATGAAAATTCCGTCATCCCATATATCAAATTCCATTACAACGATAACAAGAGCATAAATAAACAAATTTCTAATTTCATATAACAAAAGAAAGAGAATCCTCAGTGGACAGATCGCATAATATGCGATAATACGCTCGCGTTTGCAGAGTTGATTTCCAGGGAGTGAATAAAAACCATCACTCAACTGTAATTAACTACACGGACTCTAATATAAACAACTTCGTAAATTTGAAAAATATCTAAATCCCTGATATAAGAAATCGCATATGTCAACTAAAATCAACCTAAGCCTAACAAAGGTCCTCGTAATCCATCCCAATTCTTCAAACCCAATTAATAGAACACCAAAAACAATAAAATGTCAAATCGAAAATTGGAAACCAAATCAAGATTTACAGGAAGTGCGCTAGAGAGCTGACCTTCGGACTTTGTTGCCCTGGCCCACCTGGTACATTCCCCAGAGAAAGCACCGAACGCGGTGAGGAATATGGCCATGGCGCTGGGCCCTTTGTTTGGGATTCGGCGAGCGAATCGGACCGGAGCGAATCCTCCGGGAGGAGGACCATCTTGAAGGACCGGCATGTCCTTGACGCTGGCCATGCCGGGCTTATTCCTTATCGTTGCCTCCGTCATCTTTGATCCTTTGCTATGGGTTCAATGTGATTCTCAAGCCACGGATTCTGGGGAACAAGGCAGGGGAGATCGGGTATGGTCGCTGTTTACCCTAGAGGGAGCACGCAGGTGAGGATTGTGGCTCGGTACGTGAGTTCCCGAATTTCCCTTTTTTCTCTCACAGAAATTGGTGGTGGTAAGTAATATTAACATATAATTATATATTATATCATTATCTGTGGCAAAAAGATTATGTCACTGTCCATGTGTCTATATGTAATTTCATCATGGATATTCAATTTATTATAATTTAATTGTATATCAATTTACAAAAAGCCCAGCTATTTGTGACGTTTTATACAAGAATCTCATATTTAATTGAAAAAGGACAATAAAATATTTTGAAAATTATTAAATCACTATGGTAAATTTTAAAATCTCAAATAAAATATCTAGTACGATTTTGAAATTTTTAAATTTTACAAAATAACATAAATGGCCTTCACTGTCTTTTTTTTTGTTTTTTTTTTTAATAATGGCATCTCAACATCTTTAGCTAGGTTTTAATTGTTGGAGCTCTAGCATTGATGACTCCTCTAATAAATGTTATCGGAGCTCTAGCAACCGATTGTCGTAGTTTTCATGACTAAGTATTGACTGCGTTTGCTTCTAAAACTTTGATAGCTATTCTTATTTAATTATTGATTACTTTAATATTATGATTGACTACTTTTATTTTTAAAATGAAAATTACTATTACTTAGCTATTAACTACCATAATTTTGCTATTAACCACTTATATTTTAAAAATTCAAAAATGTATCAAATATTGTTGGAGACATATTGATTATTTTTGTTTAACTATTTACTATTTTTATAGTTCATATTTGAACTATAAAAATAGTCACGCAAATTTAGAGTAATTTGATATTGCATGAAGAATACTTGTCACTTCAATATGAAGCTATACTAGTTGAGAGAGTGAGGCGTATTTGGTAAGAGAAGTTGATTCACTCTACTACGAAGGCAATCTATAACAGTGACGAGTTGAATTTAATAAAAGAGACTAGTTTTTTGTAATGTGACGAATCAATATTCAAGTTCAAGTTCTCAACAAAAATCCATTTATATTTGATACTAAATAGTGTTTTAACACGGTTACTTCTAATAAAAAATATACATGCACCAAAAAACACACTTCTAGTGAGCAAAAATGGTATCTTTAATGCTAATAATTGGATTGTGCAGATTCTAAAACAAGAAGGATTGTTGAATATCTGTTTTCTTTTTAATTTCAAGATTATTTAATTATCATTTATAGTTAACAGTTAGAATTTAAATGGGAGAATTTTAAAAGAATACCTTTAAATTTTAAAATTTTAAATCAGTTTTATTCACCATACTTTAATAGTAACTGAAACAAATAATAACATATTTTCATTCTAATTTAAAAATTTAAAATTTTAGAGATATATTTTTTTAATTTTCCTCATCTAAATTGCCTCAGCCGCTGACATTTGAAAAGAATTAGGCGACATCCTCCTTCCCTAAAAAGTAAGGAACATTCTGGGGAAAATGAACACCGCAAGAAAACATACCAAACGGAGCGTTCGAAGCACGAGCTCACCAACCCGATGGGCCGGAATGCTAGGAATCCCACCCTTTGCGAAGGCCCAAAAAAAAAAAAAGGCAAATACCAAACGGAGCGAAGGCAAATACTTTGCCGGTTCGTGCACATGGATTCGGGTGGGGGCTTCTGGTTAAGCCGCCCGGGGGACCGGTTCAATTTTTTCGGCTAGTAAATTTATGAGGGCGAAAAAGGAAATCCCGGTGACCCGTTAAACGAAATATGGGTATGGTTTAAACTTGGAGCACAAAACCCTAAACCCTAGAAGGTGCTTCTTCTAGAGCCTTCCCTTCTCTTGAAAAAGCAGGCTCTCTTCCTGCTTCTCTGTTCCATTTCGCTGTTGCCCTGCAACGCAGCGCTCTGCTACCACTTTCCTTCGCTCCCTTTGCTTTTAGACGTTGCCATTCTTCAGTGTTTCCCTAGTTCTCATTACTTCCCACTGTCACCATGTATCGCTTTGCTTCTAGCCTGGCCTCCAAAGCCCGGTAACTCTAAACTCTGAACGACCATTTTGCTAACTATGCGATTCTACGTTTGGAGTTTTGAACTTCTTTTCCATGCTGCATCCCGTCTTTTTTTTAGGCCGAAATGCTGCATACCGTCTAAATACCGTAGCTTTCTGATGTGTGTATTAACTCTTGGGCTATTTACCAAAATATGTGAAATGGAATCAGGCTTTTTTTTTTAGTCCTTGTGGAAATGTATCTCAGATCCTGCGACTTTTTTCGCTTATTTTTTGATCATTTGGGATTAACAATCCCTTTAGTTGAATTACGGCGCAAGTCAATAAGCGTTGAAATGCCCTGACTTTTAATTTAATTTTCTTTCGATTTCAGGATTGCTAGGAGCAGCAGCCAACAGGTGGTGCAATGTTCCGAATAGCACTTTAAATTTTAGTATATTTTTGGAATCAATCATTCTCACTCTTAACTTACACTTAATCTGTGTTATTTTTGTGGCCTGCCATAGATTGGAAGTAGGTTGAGTTGGAGAAGAAACTATGCGGCCAAGGACATTAAGTTTGGTGTGGAGGCTCGGGCTTTAATGCTTAGGGGTGTTGAAGAGCTTGCTGACGCTGTGAGAGTGACGATGGGTCCTAAGGTAACCTAGCTTATAGTGTACGCTCACTTACCTCAGTTTTTGGATTGCTGTGCATAACTAGATTGATTCCTGATACAATATAAGTGGAAAATATGGAGGGTAGAGTGGAAGTGAATGATTGGATGGTATAAGTGCTGATCCAATGTCCACTTGGATAATTACATTATTCCAAAGCAAGAAGTAATGAAAGATCCTATAGCTGGTCTTTTCTTTTGAAGCTTCATATTCTATATTTAATGCTGTAGGGGCGTAATGTGGTGATTGAACAAAGCTTTGGTGCCCCTAAAGTGACAAAAGATGGAGTGACTGTTGCAAAGAGCGTTGAGTTCAGGATAAAGTAAAGACATTGGAGCCAGTCTTGTAAAGCAGGTTGCAAATGCCACCAATGACGTAGCTGGTGATGGTGAGATGTTGTCTATAATGTGATGCTAGATAGCTTAGCTCTGTGAGAATTGGAATTTGGCTTGATTTGCTACCAAAACATGGTTAAATATTGGGACGATCCAGCTGTTTAACAATTGACATCCATGCATT